AGATAACTCTTAGATCTAATTTCGATAAAACTTGGGCGTAAATGAGTGTCCTGAATAATATCACCAGACATGCATTTGATATGGCACTAAAGAAGCACTTTAAATAAATTCAAAAGAATTAAAATATGCATTATATTATAACTATAATTGCTCATGACAGGTGTTCTTTTTCAAGTGTCCCTTCAAACTCATTTTTTTATAATATCACCTACCCGATGAAAACGATTTATTTATCCCTGACATGTATAATATAATATATCATACACATTATAAATTATCAGACGGACATTAAAGTGTTTTCATATTATGCAACTTATTGTATTTGATCGAATACCAAACAATTCTGCGTAAAATTAATTGCTTAATTTTTTACTTCCTGTACTACAAAATTCAGAACTTGATGAGTAATTACTATGTACTGCAAAGCTCTTTAAAAAACTATATTTTATTTTGAAATCCTTTATTACAAAAGAAGTTTCTCTTAGTCGAGAAATTCAGTCATAAAACTGAAAATTAAACGGTTATGTGCACGTGACAAATGCAACCATAAATACTGTAAAAAAAAGTCCAAAGTGAGGAGCCTGCAATTCTGTGGGTGTCTTTGGTTGCTACCCATAAGTCTAGTATTTGTTTTTCGTTTATTGTTTGTCATAATTAAGGTCATTGTTTTTTTTCATTTGGTTTGTTAACTATCATACCACATCTCCTTATTTTAAAGCAAAACTATTAAATTATTACAGTGCACGTTAATAAAACATGCTGTTGTTTAAGTTAACATACAGATTTTAACTATCTTAAAAAAATGTGGCATCTTATTTTTACTAATTTTCTACATGGCTAAATTTTACTTAGGCTCTTGTTAATTAAAACTGATTCTTCGTATAAGTTTGTTCTTAATAAGAACTATCGTGAAATCAGACTGGTCGACCCTATTTAAGGCCAATATGAAACATTACATTCTAACAATTAACGGAAATTACATAATGACCTAGTTATCAGTCAAAATTCTTTCTTGATCGCAACTGCTTATCTGACACGACTAAATACATAATCGTACGACGTCTTATTGACGCAAACCGTATCCCTCACATTGTAACCCGAATTCAAATCTTAATATATTGCGATACTTATCCCCCTTTTTAAATACTTGTCTCTTAAAAGTTCATGTACCCCTTTCATAAATTAAATAATGCATTTAAAAAGCGTTATAGAAAATGCCTCATTTAATTTAATATTTAATATGTTTATATGGTTTGTGATTTCCTTTCAAGCTTTGTCATTACAGTATTAGAAATGATTGCCAAAACACGATAAAATAAAAGAAATTCATCCATACGTGTGACCATTATTCAAAAAGGTTCAAACACTTTTTAAAAGTTTTAAACATCGATATTGTATTGACTACAGATAAAAGAAAATTATTAAAATTTCCCTTTTCAGCATTCAATATGTGATTATTTAAGCACAGACGTTTATTTAAACCCACGTTAAGACCACGGTGGTGTCAACTTAAATATTAAGTGTAATGCAGCATTCATAACTTTTTGAAAATATTGATTTGAAAGTATCATATTATGGACAATTGAACAATTACTTCATTTCTTTAATACAGTAATGTAAAGCTTACCATTCGTACACAATACCATTTCAATTTGTCATTTATAATTAAAAAACTAATGCAGATTGTTGGTAACTAAATATTAGCATTACTTAATTATACTTTTACAGTATATTAACATGTATTTGATAAAAGTATTACATTTTTGATACCACACAATGATATTATAAAATAATTCAAAATGTATACTGTTCCAGTATATGCTATAACTATTCAGTTTTACTTTCCATCATCTAAGTGTATATTAACTGTAGAAGACTTATGATTTTAAACTTAGGTGTAGGTCTCTTTTGACGAAGAGTATTTTGCTTTCTGTCTACATAAAAAATCAAATTAAAATGTAGAAGGACTATACAGAATGTTTAATTCAAAACCTGGTCTACCTAGAATAGTTTTAATGTGACCTCTTTGCAATGACAAACGAATATTACTTAAATACAGACCACAGAACCATGAGCCTTGGGAACAAATTACTCTCAATGACAAAATGACGTGTTCAAAGGATTTTATTTCATAGGAACTCCGGTCTCTTTATATGATGGAACCAAATTAAGGTGTCAAAACCGATGCCTCGCGTAAGGGATCATGTGTCACTATCGCTCCAATAAAGTACCAATTGAAATTCGAAGGATTTTCTATCCAAAATGTCCTCTTTTGCTAGTGGCAGTCCAATATTCATGCCCTCAATCCTGGTCATTCACATTGTAAAGCTGGATTATTTGATTTTCTATTCTCATCAAGAATTTGCATGAAGTATTTGCCACTGAGCGTTATTCAACAATCGATCATAACATTATGGTCAGAAGCATCAACATTTTTAGCTCTTCAACTTTTAATTTACTTTTAAATATTGTTAATATATACAGGTATATATGATATTAAGAATCGACTTTCATTCAACTGAATGGCCATTTAGAAGTTCAAACTCTGCCAACACAATAAATAAGCGAGGCCAAATAAAATTTGCTTTGAATGAACTTGATATCGGATAAAACTGAAATTGAATTTATATCAAACAATTTTTTTTTATATATTTGTAGACGTGTATATACCATATTATAGAATAAGTAAATACAATTGTATTTGAATGGCGGTCTTGTATGATCAAGGTCGAATAAACACCCACCTGAAGATGAAATCAACAAAAAATCGATCTTCATCGGATGATTTGTTTTTTTTAAATAAAATTTAATGAGAGTTCGAACAAAATATTCAATCTGAAAGTTTGTAAAATTCGAATATGTACAACAATCTGAATTTCAATTCTGTAATATTTTGTTGTTGAAGAGGGGTGTCTTGGATTTGGAATAAAGTATCCGTCTCATAATATGTCTTTACAATATAAAAAAAAAAAAAAAAAAAAAATGACAAAAACACCACCGAAAAACAAAACAAACAAAACAAAATAGTATCATAATTGTAATAATAACAATATAAAAAATCACTAAATTTAAAAATAGTAGTGTAAGGTGCAAAAAAAAAAATCAAATTGATTGTCAAAAAAATGGTAAGCATGGTAGTAGTGTGTGTGGTTGATGTGATATGTTGTATTCATGTGATCCTTCCTTTATATCTTAATTTGTGATATTTCCATTTTGCCCAATGTAAATAGAACTAAGTATCGTGCTTAACCAAGGTAAATTTGGACAAATAAACATTGTGCGGAAGAAGATATATGTATATTTGATCCCAAGTCATGTAGTATTGAAGAATGACTGTGCTAATTACTCCTGGCGATACTATTGCGGCGTGTTTAACTTTAGGGGAATGACATGTAGTTAAAGTGGAATCTTATGTATGTAGGACCAAGGATTTACTATACAAATCCTTGGTAGGACCTCTCTTTTATTTGATAACAACATTAATTAACATCGGAAGTTTTAGTTGCATTAATTTCTTCTTCATACATTTTGCTCTGTGGTAGTTTATGTGTTTGTGTGTTTGACACATCTGTATTTTTATCGGGTAGCGTATTTGCAGTAAGATTTTACAGTTTGCGTCATACAATTTATCACAGTATTCCCGTTTATATATGTTCAATGACTTATGTAACGATTAGTAGTAAATGTCAACTAGTGCCGCTTAAACCGACGGCAGGAATCGTCTTTGGTTATTTTGTAAAAAAATCAATGAATCGACAAATCTGCGAAGGGCATTGGCTAAACGAAAAAGGCGATAACCATAGATAAAGTCAACAAAACATAGTAAAGTATTAACAACACATTGATTACAGAATACGAGAAGTGACTCGGGTATCTCAGAATTGTTGAAAGCTCCTGCTCCATTACTGACACCCGTTATGTTGCTCAGGATAATTACACGTCTGTTGTGAATTATCTTTCGGAGTTAGTTAAAAAATGAGGAAAGGAAAACCAATTTTTTTCTAGGAAACATAGAACTTATCCATGACTACCTTTTGAAGTTAAGTAGATTTCATTTACTTATAGAAATAAATTTTCAATGGAATAATGAAAAAAAACATGTATTGAAAATCTTGTCTGATTGGAAATATGCTGGTTCCATATGCAGTGGTGCTAGACTGTTATCACACATAATGAAAGGTTCACTAATCCAAGATAGAAGTTATCATGTTTGTCGCAAAGTTTAGTTAAAATCATGTGAAATAACTGCCAATGAGACATTTATCCATCAAAAGACGACACAACAAGGATTTCAACTGAAGGGACAAAGTTCGACCTTCCATTTCAAGGAGATTGCTTATAATATTTCGTGTTGCTCAGTCTTTAGTTTTTTATGTTGTGATTTGTGTACTGTTGTTTGTCTTTTGGTCTTTATAAAAATAAGAAGATGTGGTATGATTGCAAATGAGACAACTCTCCACAAGAGACCAAATGACACAGAAATTAACAACTATAGGTCACCGTATGGCCTTCAACAATGAGCAAAGCTCATACCGCATAGTCAGCTTGTCTTTATTTCTTTATTTTTTGCCATGGCGTCGTCAGTTTAAACTAAAGAGTTTGAATGTCCCTTTGGTATCTTTCGCCTTTCTTTTAATATCTACTTCTTAAACCAATAAAGCCATATAGTTTTTGAAGCAAAAATTATGTTGTTTGGGGTCTTATCAGACTTATGCTGAGTGAGTGTTCATCGACCTGTAAATCCATTTTTGCTGTACATGTACCGATTTTGTGTCATGGATAATGGATACCCCGTACTCTTTTTTTGTCTATTATGCAACGTTAAAGATGAAGATAGAACAACTAAATATGTTCTGTGATACATTTTCATTTTGACCAGTTTGCCACCAGGTTCTTCCTAAAGTTCAGCTTTCAATATTCTTGCTATCCAAACGTAACATTTGTTTCCCTTTAAAGTGTAGGATCAGAGGAAAGGGATATTTTGAAAAGAAACAAAATAATTTTATAACAAATACATTTAATATCAATAAATAACAATGATTGATACGAAAAAATATCACAGGAAGCTTGATAATACTTTTTAGTCTATAGTAATTAATTGTTCATAATACTTTTTTTTTATATGTATCAATTCTGTTTTAACCTGTAAAGTATTGTTTTAAAAACTGAAGAAACAAAATTCTTGCATATACACAATATTGTGATTAAAATAATGTTCGCGTATACGAGACATAATTTTGATTAAAACCTATTGTATTAATGTACACATCAACAATAAGAAGTGCACATGATTTATCAGCACACAGTATGTTCACGTTTAACGAAAGCTTGTGTGGGCTGTTTTGGTTCATCTTGTCGTTGTTCAGGGTGAGGTGGCGGGGTTACTGTGGACGCGTATGATATATTAGATACACGACCAGAGTCAGGCAAATTAGTGTTCATTCTAGATAAACGTAGTCCTAAGGCAGTTGTAGGCGGGCGAGGTATATGAACGCCTCTTCCATCCCAGTATTCTGCTCGATCTAGCAAAAATCCTCGTCCATGTTCTGCTAAATCTCGTTCATCTATTATTGGTTCTGTGTTTGGCTCTGAAATTGAAAAGAGGTAATTGAATGATTCAACTATCACGAACTTAATAATATTGGTTTATTGAATTCCATCTTGACTAGTGAGAATCTGTAAATTAACTAATATTACTTGTTCTGTTTTAATTATATCACGAGGGCATAACATTCCTATATTAGAATTGCATTTATTAATTGTAAGGCTGATAAACAAATCTACATATAATTGTTGGAACTATTGTTAATAAAAGAATAAATATTCTTTAGAACTTTCTTATTACTTCTTTCCCCCGATATGAATTATTTGGCGTTAAATAAGACAATTACACTTCATGTCATATTAAGTTAATATGAAGTTACGAAAACTTATTTTATTCATTACCAACCTCCTATTGACAAAGACATGGAACTTTAAAATAACTGTAGGTCTATGAAACGTTTGCATGCGATTACAATAAACTTTCCAACATTATGAATTACATGTATCATCAGGGTACCACCTATCAACATCCAATTTTAATACAAAAGTGGATAATCATTGACAAGCTTCCTACTCTAGGACAGGCGCTTAAACATGTGCCATGATTAAATATCTTTGTGAGTACCCAGCTATATCCTCTAATTGTATCGACAAGAGGAAGAATACATGATACGTTATATTAAAATCAAACCGAAAAGCTGCTATAAAATTATTTAAGAAATAACTGTAATATTTTTTTCTATAAAATTATTTAAGGAAAGACTGTAATATTTTTTTTCTGTCTATGAAGAAATAACATAAAAAATGGGGTGCACACTGAATAACACCCCTAGCGGGTTATTTGAAAGAGCGCACCACAGTTATGAGGTTATTTCTTCATAGACAGAAAAAAATATTAGTCATTCTTTATAATTTAATTCTGAATTCCATTTTTAAGGAGTAAATCATGAAAAAACGTTGATGACGTCACGGTCACATGACTAAATTATGTCTATGTGCTGATAGACAAAAAACCTTCAGCCAATCAAAAGACGTGCACAATGTTATCATATCGGTATAAAAGAGGACAAAGCAATAACATTTTCGTTTTAATGTCATACCAAAGAATGTTTGTTATCACGGGAAATAAGTAGTAGATACAATACAAAGGTAACAAAGAAACAGGCCGGTAACAACCGTTGCCGGATAGTTTTTCTGCACGAGTAGTCAGGTCAAGGTCCGAGGCGACAGCCGAGGACCTTGATCTGACTACAAGTGCAGACAAACTATACGGCAGGTTGTTTCCGGCCTGTTTTTTGTTACCTTTGTTTTGTATCTGACTTGTACGACGTTTCAAGAAGGAAGAAGTACATTTTGCATTTAGAAGAGGTAGCAAAACTAAAGATACTAGAAACTTAAATGGCCATATACATTGTACCAGTTAATGTAAGTTACAGTTTAAACTCAATTTTTTTTCTCACTTCCCTTCAGCCGAGAGTTTTTTCTCAAAAAATTCAAGAATCTAATAACTTTGTAAAAAGAACCATTTCAAGTTAAAGGTGAATGTTATACACATTTGAGACTTTTTGAAATGCAACTTCGCAAGTAAGTAATGTATAAAAAAGATTTCAGAGGTAAGCAAGCTACCATTTGATTTTATTTGGGGGGGGGGGGGGGGGGGGTTAAAATAAATTTAAAATAAACAGGCTTCATCCTTTTTTTGTTGAAAAAATGCAGGATGTGCCATGTCCATGTCTTGTTATAATATATATATATAGGCATATGTTTTGGATTAAAAAAAATGTTCATGCTTATAGGTTTTTATGTCTCTGATAGTGTTGATCAGGATTAAACACGTGTCACTATATGATCCAATCAGAGCTTACCGTCCAAAATTGATGACGTAAGTTGAATGATTTTCTTTACGATTTGCTGCATATTTGAACATGTATTACACGGACACTTTTTATTTATAGGATCAATCGTGCATTGGTGAGTTGATAGGGATTTTATCTTTTGATTAGATTTGATTTTTATATATATATTTCCTGTCTTTTTATTGAAATATAAACGTTGGTACCAGCATTTCTTTCAGCATTGTCCAGAATACTATTCATGTCCATATATTGAAAAAAAATACATTTACGGACCGACCATTTAGCTTCAAAAGGGGGTGTGTTCTTTTCTGAGTAAGAAAATTATTTAGTTTCCAACGCTATCGCCCAAATATTTTTTTTTTTCGAAATCAGCACTATTAGATACGGTATTCGGAAAATCAGGAGCCAGAACATTATTTTCAGTGTCATCTGCTTGACCATTATATATTTTTTTCTCATAAAATTGGGGATCAAAATGTGTTTTTTAGGAAAAAACCATAACCGGCCTTTTGAAGTTAAATGGTCAACCCCTTAGTGTACTAATATGAATAGTTACTGGAATTGTTTGAAAAAAAATATAGTTATTGATGCTAACGTAAATATTTTTAATTAAAAAGACAGGAAATATGTCGGTGAAACAAAAAGTTCAAATCTAATTGAAATTTAAAGTGCCCATGAACTCACTGATCATGCACGAGTGATTCTATTCATAAAAAGTGTCCGTGTAACAACTAAAAAGTGTCCGTGTATCATCTAAAAAGTGTCCGTGTAACACCCGTTAATGTACTGTTTTTCTATAGCTCTGCTGGGGGCAAAGTCGTACAAGCGCAAATGTAACATTCGTATATTGCTCGCTCTGTATAGATACATGTTATGTACATTTTGTAATTATGTCATCGACAATGTAACAAAACACTGACTCTTCAGCATTGGCCGCAACAAATTCCAGCCAAAGATAGATTAGAAATCAAAATACTGAAATAATGTTTAAAGAGTTTATTCGCAAACCAAAAGTCTCTACCTCAACAAATACAAGAGTTAATCTTTATAAAAAGTAAGCATGACTATCTTGTCAAGTTTAACGAGTCAGAAAAAATGACTCGAAGAATTGTGTTTACCATCAGAGGCATAGTATACAATTATGAAATCCTCCCAAAAGACTACTTCGAGTAATATATTTATAAGAATTTGCCAATACAAAATGTTTGTCTTGATGTAACAGGCGTTTAAAGAAAAATTTCGAGAACTAACTATAGAGATAGGAAGATTAAACACAATGAAAATTCTAAAGGACGAAATGTAAAATATCACAAAGGAAAAAAAAATAGTATGTCTGAACATTTCTTTTGGAAATTCTTAATTTATCAATAAACTTATCATAGATACCAGGATTAAAATTGTGTACGCCAGACGCGCTTTTCGTCTACAAAAGACTCATCAGCGACGCTCGAATAAAACAAAGATCAAGTTTAAAATAGCTTATGGTGTTGAAGTTGGTTACATAAATGTTTAGTTGAATAGATTGTATACTAGTACTAGGTGTGTACAGGACTTGAGCCACCAAAAGCTCTACAATCAATTTCCTTTTGTCAAGAATGGACAAGCCTAAATTATTAAAGCTTATTCAATCAAATAAGTTTGGTAGCTAGTGACTCTTTAAAGTATTTTTAGAAACAGTATTGCGTTTTAGTGTTTAGCAAAATTAACCTATCAGAGCTAAGAAATGCGTCTGGAGACCACGTTTTAATTTCATGGATGACTGTACTTCAAATGAGTTATGAGTTTTTATTAAAAAACAAATTAAAGTATTTTGATGCACTTACCAGTTGTATCTATCACGTGATCGAAATACTTTTTGTCTTTGTACAACTCTTCTAAAAGTTCTCTTAATCGTCTATCGTCCATATCTCGTTTGACATTGTTAGCTGATTTTGATGTTGTGTGTTGCTTGGATACACTATTAATGTCCAACAGGGAAGATTCTCTTATTTGGTACTGATTTATTAAAGACCATGGCAACGCATGACGCATGTCATGTTTAGGACAAAACATGTCATGACTCCCAGGAAGGGGTCGAACAGTTGTTTGTCCAGGTCGTCGTGCATGAGTAAAAAACCGCTGAAAAGAAAAGGAAAATGCATATTTCAAACGTGTTGTCACAAATTATATTAAGTTGAAAGTGTTGTACTTCCTAACTGTACACACATATATACGTTCAATATTTTAAGCCCCCCCCCCCTCCTGTCTTATTTATTCGAAAAGTGCATTCGTTTAATATATATAATGTACAGAGAGATGTGTTTGCCTTGACATTTTACTTTGGATAAAAAAAAAATCAAATCAAAGAGTCTACCTCTGGTTGCTGTTCTCTATTTTCACCGACTAGAAAGAATTCGTCATCACTTCCAATATTAATGCCATTTTCCTGTCTTTGTAAACGATTCTGTAACAGAAAATTATAAGATATAAGGTAAAATATACAAATGTATACAAATCCTTATGATGAATTAAGTGTATCTCAAAATTGGTAAATAAATGTCTAAGGTTTCAGTATAATATGTACTTCAAATTGATATGCCTTTTATAGGCGACTTTACGGTACGAGTTGAAGGCCTTGTGTATACGATGACCTATATGTCCTTACATGCACGTCATTACATGTAGGACTGTGGTGGATAGCACATGTAATAAAGAACCTAGTAAATTAATTGATGTCTTAGCAACTTTTAGCGCCATACAATACATGTAAATTAAAAATAAATTTCCGAAGCCCAAACATATGTTAATACTAGATGCTTTGTATTCGATGTAAACGTCATGTCCAACTTTGAACCAAAATATACCTGTCCCCATACATATATTAACATAAGTTCGGGAAACCCAAACCGACAAGTCAATATTAATATTGATAAACTCTGCATGAAAGTCAGAAAATATCGACAATCTTCCATACCTTAAGCCAGAAAGCTATGAAGGTACATATAACACTGTTGTAAAAATATAACCTGTTTTGTACTATTATATACCTCATTTTCTTCATTATCAATTGAAACTCGAATATCATCTGGATCTTGTTCTGTAAAAGCTTGCCGTGGGACTCCCGGAGGTCCTGCATTATATACCAAAAACACATGTATTACTAAAAATAAATTTATTTTTCAGACAACTTATGGATATATTTCAGGTTAAATAGTAGAATTTGATTTGCAAAATCTTTTGTGGGTGTTGAATCATTTATTGATTTTTTTTTAAGTTCTTTTATTAATTTGTCTTTTTTTAATATTTTTTGTTTAAATAATTTTGTGCTTTTAGAATATCAACTTACGTTTGAGTGACGGCGAACGTTCGAGAATTTTTTTATCAGTGGCAAGACCTTCTCTGTACATCTGCTGCTGTTCATGATCAAATTTGTTTTTCATGCTATCATTTCTAGAAACAACAGCCCCAGGAATAGGTGCACGACCATTTAATAAATACTTATTGGCATTATTTTGTGGAATAACACGAACAAGCTCACTTAGTTCTCTAGGTCGGCCATCATCGGACATAAACATTCTGTTATCAGCCTATATGACAAAAACAAAATTCAAATGTACTATACTGCAATCATCTTAAAATTTCAATCATTTTAAGCGATATTTTCTTTAAGTAACCACCAAATTTCTTGCCAAATGTTACAGTAATTCATTTTTCAAATCATAATGCATGTTAGTATTAGACAGATATGATACAAAACATACAACCACTTCATTTGGAACCAGGTGAATAGTTGTCTGATTGGCAATCATACCACATCTCCTTAATTTTATATATCGTAAAAAGAGGATATTCACTACGGTTGAAATGTATATTATAAATAGCTTAAATTTAACATCAAATTGGTATTCTTGATGAAAACAATTATATTACAAAAAAAATGTTGTAAATCTTACCCCTCCATGTGAACGTGTCTTCCTTTTGTTTTTGAAAAGTCTTTTACGGAGAAGTTCTCTGTTTGTCGTAGAGCTGTCTCGGCGTTTCTACAAATAATTATATCTCTTTTGTATTATTTACAGTTTGTATTGTTTGGAACAAACATTTAATTGCACTTTGAACCGTCAGACGTATAAAAAAGCCAAATAACGAAATAGATTTTGATTAAGGAATGTATCTCCCTCATGCATAGCTTTGATTCCTTGACCAGGTTGTGGCATTAATTTTGGTCATTTTTTGGTTTTATCAGCCCTTCAACGTTTGCACTAGGCTTTGGCTTGACTTTCAAATATTTTGGTCTCGAGCATCACTGCAAAGACAGTAATTGCTGAAATGTGCTTCTTGTTAAGTAAAACTGGTACCGTTAATGTTTATTAACTTGGGTCAATTAAAGTTTCAACAGATAAATGATGTTTAGCAAATGAGGTCATTCATATTATTGAGATAATACTAGAATCGTGCACAGTATTAACAGACATCTTATAATGAAAATTACTGACCCGTTGACATATTATAACCTTTGTAAAATTGCAACCAAATGACATTTTTCCCATATAATAAAGTGACCGATTCCAGCGTCATGCCCATATATGAAAAGACTCACACAACATGTGATTCAAGCACACATATAATATACGTTTATTACTATGTGTTCTTTATAAAACAAGTTAAAGTTTGTTTATAGTTAACAGATCATACCTTCCATTCATCCTCATCTTCAACCATTAGTATATCAGAATTCATTGATTGTCTATCATCCATTTCGAAAGCGACTGTTTTTTCTTTAAGATCTCTCCGTGCGGACTACAATTATTGTTATTATTATTTTTTTTTAAATACAATTTTATGCATTCGGCTTTTGATATATTATATACTTGAGGAAAACAGAAAATGTGTATTTCTCAACATATACCATATGTTTCCAACATTAACTTTGTACCTTTGCACTTTTTCTAATTGAACAAAGTTTATTTTTTCAAAATGTTGGAAGGTGAGCAATAACTCTTGTTAAGCCTCGTCGTGGTCTATAACCCCACGCTAGCGTGTCGTTAGTTGACACTGTAACGTCATTTTACGTTGAAACAAACGTTCAGAACCACTTTGAATTCTTTCCGACAAATATTTGATTTATTGAACACATTTATTGATTTAAATTGCATCACCAAAGATATTGACAATAAATAATCCAAGATGGCATGGTAGGTTTAACAATAAATATACAGATTTCAATTGAAGCAATTATTAAGAAAAATGCCTTCTATGGAATCATGGATAAGTTTATCATTTATCCATTCTATAGAAGAAGGACAAAATTTAAATTCTTTAGCTCGGCTAGAAATTAATTTTATTATTGCGATAAGATTCCTTTAAAATGAATATGTAAACTGTATTTACCCCTTTTGAAGATCTAGGATGCTTTGGTTTAGAATGTTCTTCTTTTAATTCGACGTTGCGAATGCTTTCCTTATCATTTTCCAATTTTGGACCGAAAGAATCTTCTATATATTCCTAAAAACAGAGCAGCATATAATTTTAAATATATTAAACATGTTTGTAACGTCTGTCAACACAAAACACTAGTTTATATAGGGATGCAGTAGTTGTAAACTTTTAAAATACTGATGGTATCTAGGAATTAAATAGTTACCGGAAAGTATTCAAAATAAATGCCATATATATATCTGGTGATCATTTTATTTGGCAATCGCCAATGGCAGTCAGCAGGGTTTAAGAACATCAGTTGTTCGACCTGCTGGTCAAATGCGTTTTGTTAAAATATACTTTTTCACATTTTTGGTCTTTTGGAAAATGTTGTTTGTGTTGTATTTAGACCCCTCTAGTAAGAAATTTGTTTTGCATGCACACGTATAAAAATTGCGGGTTTTATCCAACGCAATCATAGGTTTGAACGTTGTTTTCAATTTAGACTTGTATATATATATATATATATATTACTTACGCCTGTAGGACGTCCATGCGATGTTCGCTTTAATCGTGGCACATGGAATAACACACCAAGTCTAGCTGTTGGAAATATAGATTGCATTTCTTCTTGTGTCATGACCTTTCCATCATACAGACGCTTTAAGAATAGAACGACAGTACTTCAAAACAAAACAATGATACATGCTTGTACTAAATACGTAGAAATGTTTCACTAATTGATGAAATTTTGTGTCAAAAACTTGCTGTCAATACATTTGTTCGTACATACAGAGCTATAATTTTCATAACCGATTGATTTTATTGGAGGAAACAATATATTTACATGAAAAACAGATTTATTTCGTAAAATATATGAATATATTTGTCAAAAAAAATGTATGAGGCATATAAAAGATTATCTCTAGTGACTTTTATTCATAACTGATAACCAGTAAAGTTTCCTCTTCATAAAATAAAAAAAAAATAATAATATCAGGCTTGAAATTGGAAATTTGACTTTGTAAATATTTAAATCCGGTATTCTTTGTTTGAATGTGTTTTACTTACAATGATTTGACCTGTGCTGTCTCTGATATAACCTGGCGGAGGTTCTGTCATTTCAACAGCCTCCATTTCTTCGTTGTTTTCAATAAAACTTGTTGCCGTATTTTCTTTTCTAAAGTCCGGACTATCGACACCACTATCCTTTCCTTGGTCCTCATTTATTTGTTTACGTTTTGCTCTTTCTAGTTCATCAATTTCTTTGCCATTCATTTGTTTCTTTCCCATTTTATCTGACCCTTTTGTATGCCCTTTCTCTCCTGCGTTCTTGGAAGACTGTAAAGGTTTCTTTCCTTCATGTTTGTTCTTTTCATTTAGTTGCTCTATTCGAGTTTGTTCGATTTTTTCCTGTTCTTTAAGTTTCTTATCATCATCGAAAATGTCAGCAAAGTCCTGCAGAGAAGTATAATAGCCGAATGATATATATGATAAATTGATTGTATAATAAGATTACATATTTGTTAATGTTAAAATACACGTATTTCAATCATGTGCGCCAGTCGAAGATTTCTAACTGGTAATTTTTTTCATATTCATCCAGCCTAGATTTCTACATTCCCAACTTATTAGAGACAGTTGAAATAAATGGATAAGATATATAAGGCAATGTGACAAGTTTGATAAATGTGTATACTGTATCTCTTACCTCATCATCTGAATATTTAATTCTCTCTCTATAATCAGATTCCCCTTCCCTCACATGTTGTTCATCCAATACGTGATCCATCTGTTTTTTATATTGATATTCCTTCATGAATGGAGCAATAGTCTTTTCTCGATGAAGCCTTTCGTCGTCAGAGTCATATGGTGACCTTCGCCCGTCTTCTTTTTTGTCATTATTTTGCTGGTTAGCTACTTTAATTTTTTTGCTCTTAACACGAAACATATTTTTCATCTTTGTCCATTTGCCGTGGTCTTTGTCCTTTCGTTTTTGTTCTTCCATTTTCCGCGATACGAGAACCTTGCTTAACTCGCCTTGTGGCTAAAACAATTATATAATCTTCAAATATGTGTTATTATTACTACTTTATAAAATTACACGATAACATAACTTGTAACTAGGATATGTTTAATAGACAGGCAAGGGAATTTTATTAATTGTTTTATATTTCCATCGATTTTTTTCTTTTTAAAGCTTTTATATATTTGATAAGGCTTGTTTGACAGAAAAGAAAAAAATGAAGAAATTTTAAAACGTCTTAAAACCTGATCTTATAATAGATTGCAATACGAGCGATGCTAGCAAGAGTAACAATTTGAATTTAGCCCTTGAAACGTCTGGTTACCTACCTTGAAGTCTGTTGACTTTTTCATCCCTATTTTACGAATATTTCTTTCGATTTCCTCTGGATCTGGAGTAGTAACACGACTCGACGGTGGAGTTTCTTCTGACCCAGAGCTTTCAGCCTGCAAAGTCATTTAAGATTAGTTATTAGTTAAGAAAGGATTTTTTTATCGGGTATATGGTACTTTTTGGCTTAAAAATCAATGACAATGTCTTTAAAAACAGATAACAATATCAATGTGGTATTGATATACTAAAGATTCCATGTTTGCTCAAATTCAATTGTAAATAAAACTTTTTAACCTTTTATGGTGCAAATACATTAAGTAAATGTCTTGTCAAAATGTGCGTTGCTTATCGGGTGTTTTAAAAGTTATACTGGTATATTTTACAATAATTGTTTACAGAATGATACTGTACAAGCTATCACCTATAGGTATATATCATTATCTATTCCAACTTTAACATGGTTGTTATGTTTGTTTACATTCTCGTCCTTTGGTCACATTGTTTTTGTAGTTGTTTCATTGGCAATCATTACACATTCTTCACAAGCAGACCATTATGGACCAAATTATACAAATTATAGTACGGAATGATTTTATCCGTATCTAATTATATATTGATCTTGCTTGGGAAAGAAAAACATATTGTTTATTAATACCTCATCTTCAACGTCTTTCTTTTGATAAAATACAAACAAATGAATTCATCAGGTCAATTACAGCATACAATGGCAAAAAAAACAAAAAAACCCAATTGAAATTTTACCGTTAAGACTATAAGATAATTTTATAAAGATAAGTAATAAGCTAATGAATACAATATTTAAAAGTAGAAAACCAAAAAAAAAAAATGACTGACAAAAACTACGGATTGATCATTAGAACATTTTTGAAGTGAACAGACATCCTTCTTCTATTAGAGATGTCAAGTGACTCTTGATATAAATTTTGAAATATAGCATGACGAGGAATAACAATTAGAATTATGCATTAAACAGTTACGTAGTTACAAGGCTGTACTACGTGAGTAGCTTCTACATCAGTGGCAACCTTGTATAATTACAATGCAGCTTTAAAACAATGATCCGGGAAGATCTCCAAGTTTTGATTGCTTGTCTTTGTCTTTGTTATCTATTTCTTGGACTGGTTGGTTTATATGGAAGTTAATGAAGCATGTTGTGGTTTTATTTTTGAGTTATATAGAGAAGTAAAGTAACAGGTCTGACTCAGCGAGAAGGGAGAGAAGTGTTAAACATGTGTTGATCTCGATGTTATATCTTATATATGCTTTCGACATATAATCTCGGCAGATATTTTCATAAATAACGTTTCAGCAAATGCAATGGTAATTACCTCCTCTTCTCGTGCTTTGACTTTAATCTGAAAGGAAACATACAAACCAGTATTTTAATGTTGAAGCGAACAGAAAACTAAAATTTAACTAGCATACATATACATAATGTCATACAATATTTTACGAATGTCAAACTGTACAAAACTAACTTTACAACTTCTAGTCGTTAACTGGTTTTTGTAAATTACATAAAACTAAGAATTAAGAGACATCAAATTAACTGTTAGTTTTTACATTTTCATTTGACAGAAAAAAATAATTAATATTGTTACTTTAATATATTATCTTGTTTGATATAAGTTAAAACGGATCTATATGAGGCTCTAGTAGATCATGCTGTTCAAGCAGAAAAAAGATTAGTAAATATACAAATTGCAGAAATATATTTTATATATATAGAGAGAGAGAGATAAATAGTTATTTTCATTGTTAGTTCGACACAGTTAGTAGTATGTGAAAAGAAGAGCTTTTATTTGTTATAGAAATAGTGGTTATTTAGAATTATTGTATAGGAATTGGGAAAACGTCTATCTCTACTATTTAGGAGTGATCAATACTGTTTGAGTGTTCTGTTCAGTGTTCTTTACGCCTGTGACATCATCTGTTTTACGCTGGTCCAAGTTGTCATCCAAATCAACTCTTTCGTAAATTCTGACACTCCGATTTTGCTTTTCGACTACTTTTTGATCAGGATTTTCATCCTCAGTTTCATTTTTAGTATCATTTTGGGGATTTTGGTCCTCATGTACCTCATCTTTTTGTTCATTATTATCTTTTGTATCATCCTCCTTATCATTTAAATCATTATTATTATTTTGTGAAGAAATTATACTTTCATCAATTGTATTATCTTTTGGGGTAATTTTTATTTCAGTTTCATTATCGTTTTCAATTTCCTTACTTTGTTCCATTTGTTCATTTTGGTCATTGTTTATTATTTTTTGGTCAATTTGTTGATCTTCTCCCATGTCATTATCATTTTTCCCTACAGAGTTTTCTACATTTTCATTATTAATATATTCATTTTCAGATTGTGAAATAGCTTCGTTATTTATTTTTTCCTTATCATCTGTGTTATGATTTATAATTGAATTGTTTTGATTTTCTTTATCATTAATAGCTTCGTCGGTTAAATTTTCGTTTTGTTGGGACATTTCATTACTATTCTCGTCAGATTTTTGTTGCTCCTGAAAAGTGTAAATATACATATGTCAAGGTAAACTATTTAAATCAGTATAGCAGTATCTGAATTAAAAACCGAAATACTTGTACATACAATTTCACTATCATAAAAACCCATAGACTGCATATTGTTTTTTTTTCTTTTACTCTATCATTCTTTTCACCAGTTATGTAAATCTTTTATTTGACATTTTTGCTTTGTGTAAAAACATATTTTGGTCCCTTTTCCTTTTCGAATGAACAGACAACCTAATTGATTGAAATAACGGTTTCAATAATTGAGTAAATAAATTGCAAATCATGCTAATGTATAATTGAGGATCTAAATATTCATCTCTTATCATTCTCAGTAAACAAGGTATCTATTACATGTATATAGAGTTTTAATAAACTATTGGAAAACTCATTATCACGCTCATGTTGTTTATAAACATGTATAGTCCCATCTGTGCAAAATGTGCCATATGTTTTATATTTACCTCTTCCTTATCATCTTTTATGTCCTCCTGCAAAATAACACAATATAGTACTTTCTTGTTTTTCTGACATAGGGATCTATATGGTTTCGTATAAAAGGTAAACAACGTAGAGGGGACATGCAAGTTCATTGTTAAGTATTTCAATTCAAATATCCTTCTATAGTGCTCATATGGAGAGAATGCTATGAATAAATTATCCATGATCGGTATGATTGCAAACCTCATGTGTGATTAAAAATTAGTGTGCCTGAAATATTTGATAGGGATTAAAATAATAAGCCTGATATCTTTGATGAGTTTTTTTCTCTTTCAGAACACCATGGTCGGTAACACCAATATGTTTTTTGGTAAAGAAAGTCTCCTTAGAATAGTAGTTTTACGTGTTTGGAGAAAGTGATTGCTAGTAATATCATTTCCCTGTTGATTTTGTTATCATCTTTTCGTTTTAATGCAAATCAAGATAAAAACCTACTGAGGGAATATCAATAACTCCAAAATAAATGAGACCGGTTGCGTCGAAAGGATAAGCGTCCCCAACTATGCTTGCAACAACCGTCAAGCGAATCCACACTTAGATAAAATGTCATAATCTTAAATATGAAACATTCAGTATATTTATAGATCAGACGACTATAATGGTACACGTAAATCAATATCTCAAAAAGCGAAAACATGTCGGTAGTGAGTTGAGACACAGACACATCGTATCGCTTAATTTGTGATGATCGTAACACTTATGTAGTGTTGATACCAGTCGTTTTTTTTCCTCGTGATAACTCGGTTGTGACCGTTTTTGTGTCAAATGCACACGTCGGTAACTGAAGTCCGTATAGTGGAAACATGCAATTGAGATAACAATGGTATATTTTTTATCATAAGTAAATACAATAAATTAGGGACCGAATTTGAGTACTATGAACATGAAATATCCCAAAACTCCATTTATTCATATGAAACATAATCGTAAACTTTAGTGATGAACTCTTGTTAAATTATGCACATTGATACTTAATACCAGGGCCCGGTTGTTCATTTCTAGGTTAAATATAACCCTTGGTTAAATATAACCCAGGTTAAATCTTTTAACAGAGAGTTACGTAACCAAGGGTTACAATTCCGTTGTTCAACTTCTTTTTAATCCTTGGTTACGTAACCCATGGTTAAATTTTCATTGAATGTTCATTTTTATCAAAATAAGGATTATGTACACTTTTTTTTGGTCAATAAATATGATTTCTTATAAAAACAATGCGCTTTTTAGCGTCTAAGTTCATTAAATAGAACAACAGCAACGCGGACGTGACAGAGAGCACCTTTTGTTTGAAAAGACGCGTTGATCGTAAATTATTTGATTATGTAGATAAATACATTATCTTACTAAAAATGTTTAATTTTGCTGCATAAGTTTGTTTATTAACATAGAAGATGACAGGGTAAAAAAAAATGTCGATTTGAACATGTATGATAGGTAGACGTAAACCTCGATGCAAAAAAGGGGGAAAGACTGTAAAACGTAATTATTAAATTGATCAGTTTTGATCAGATTTTGATGACTAATGGTCGTAGAAAAAGAAGAATATGTTGTATCAAACGTTTAGTGACCTTTCCAATCTAGTAATGAACAGAGAATCGTATTTTTAGACAAAATTATTCCTTGATTAAAATTTTAACAGAGGTCCCAAGCAAGGTTAAATCTGAATCATTTAACCAAGGATTTAACAAAGGGTTAAATCTAACCACAGGATGAACAACAGAAAATAACCTATGGTTAAATTTTAACCAATGGTTATGATATTTAACCCTTGGTTAAAATTTTACCAAGAGATGAACAACCGGATTGTACAACATGCAGCCACGAGTAAATGTATTCATGTTTGAAAAAAGCAAATGCATACACTATTATTTTAAAATAAATATTCTTACCCCACTTTCCCGATTCATAAAGTTTCCCATATATCTTGTTGTGAAACATTTATACACAAAACAAAAACTTATCTCCTTTTAATAAAATGGTCAATAGATGAAATATATTCATATAGATTATGTTCCCTTACCATTTCAATTCTTTATCAAATTTAAGCAGAGAACAAATTTACTAATGAAAGTTGTTTCAATAAATTTATCACTCTTTAAACAACAGTGAATTTTGAAATTTTGATTCGTAAAAGTTTACAGTTGTTCTGTATTTACTTTTTCAACAATGACAATGTAATTCATGAAGGACAACTTGTCTATTTAGATGTGAATTTATTGAATCTATTAAAAGGAAACTGAATTGCAAACAATGTTTAATTGATTCGCATTGTATCTTCTTGTGAACTGTTGTTATGCAATGTTGTCATGGGGCTGTGTTTCCAGGTGTGTGGCACCAGTCATTAATATCGTCCAAATTACAGTATGACTAAATATAAGAAAACTGGATAAGATTTGTAATTTTGAGACCAAAGCCATTTAATTGCAGGTCATTCTTCATTATTTCATTGTCATATGATTTTAATGATCTATCGTCTTTCATTTTAAATTGAATTAATTCAATAGTCAGATAAGATAGTGTTACATATAAATAGCAGTTCCTCTAATCCCTATTTACAAGTAATGAAGAAAGATCCAATTTGTAGACTTATCGCGCATATATAGTTGATTAGCATGCCGGATAGATACGCATACGACATGGTTTTGCTAATACTATAATAAGATGTACTTTACTCACAAACTGTTGGAAAAGTATGTCTATGATTGAAAGTAAAGAATGGAATTTACATGTTACATTTAACAAATACAGCAATCTTTTGGATTTTATTGTGTTTTGTATCATTGATGAATACACAACAACTCATTTTATTCATATGATTAGTATTGTACACATGTGCATTATGTGCCACTGATATCAATAATACAAATGTTAAGACATATTTTAGATATTCATCTTTGTAATAATTTACTTATTTGTGTTTACGGACATGTTTTAGTGCTTCCGGTATTCCCTAGGTAGAAATTTAACAAAATGCATTATGATGAAAGAAATGCCGGTTTTTTAACGTCAGAAAGTAGAAATTACATAAACAAGCTTTTTTACAATTTTCGAACGAACTGAAATAAAATGATGAAAGGCTTGTATGAACAGAAAGCAAAGAACCGTTAAGAATACCAAAACCACGATATTCACGTTTTAGAATAATCAATTAAACTTAATAACAAGTATACATAAATATATTCATAGATTAAATTTACATAAACATTCACATACCTCTGAATCGCTATTGTGATGAACGTCACCTTGGTAATCTGTTTCACTATTATCCGACATTATTGAATAAGTCTAATGGTTTTAAATCATAAACTTTGTGTTTGAATTTAACAACTATTTATCGATAAAGTTTAAACAATTTTGTCTTTAAATCATGGCTATAACTTTAAAAAGAAAATATTGAAGCACTTGTTAAAGCTTTCCTTTTTAATTTCAATCGTTTTTTATATTGAATACCTTGTTGATAGAGAAGCTAATTTTGTGTATTTAAACCAAGAAGAAAAGATTCAATCGTTCTATGGACTTTTGATTGACAATTGTTCAGGTAAAATCTAACATGCAATTTGCAGATGAATATCCTTCACATTTCCAGTTAACAATCTGAATTTCATGAGAATTAAATTTTCTGGATTAAATTACAAAATTGATTTATTAATGTTCAAGTCCTAACTTTGGAAATAGTCTTATTATGGACGTCAGATCAACCAACTTTTGAAGGATATCATGAAATAAAGATTACTGTATTTAATAATCAGATTCATTGTATGTTATGTAATAGAGGTCAATGTATTGATTGATCCGATTCCTTGTGTGTCAGTAATAGAGGTCATTGTATTGAATTATATGATTCCTTGTGTTATGTAATAAAGGCCGAGTAAAAAAAAGTCAGCAATTGAGATTTAGATTAGAGTAATTTTAGGTATAAGTTTAAAACAAAAATTGATTCTGGTTGCTTTGGTACATTTATATTGTCAGGTAAATCGAAGTAAAACTTGACGAATTTAATGCACAAGGCATCGGAAACAATACTACCCACTCTCACTCCTTTTACTAAATTCTCTTTATTCGACTCTAATATTTCATTTTACCAATATCTATTACTTGTAACAATTTTTTTCATTTTTCAGGGAATGAATATTCTAACTAACAATTCTATATGTTCAAATTAAGATATAAATTTTATTACAAAAAAGCAGTAGAAATTACAGAAAAGCACACACTTAAGTTTTAATCCAAAGATTAAAGAAAGTGTTCAAATAAAGTTTATTGTGTTAGTTTTCTAATTTGAAATGTCTATATGATTTTAATTCTAGCATCAAACTATGTAGATACATATCACACAAAAACTATAGTATTAAAGAAAGAACTACAGTCACACTCACTATTACCACTTTCTTGGTTTTCTCTTCATCTTTCTTATCCTGTTGAATTCCAGAGTCTATAGAAGTCCTGTCCTCATCCTTCACTGGAATGGGGCTCGATTCACGTTTTTGTTCTTCTCGTTTCTGTTCTTCATCATGTCTCTTTTCTTCTTCTTCTGATTCAGATGGATGCAACGATTCTTCATCTGCTTTTTTTTGTTCTTTTCGTTTCTTCTTACGTTTCAGATAGCAAATCAATATTATTATAGCAATTATTATTAGAATAATAATAATTGCTATTAATATATACAGCCATAATAAATTGGTGGATGTCGTCGACGATGGATCTGAATGTAATACATAATACTGATCAATAACATATATCATGAGAAGATGATGTTTTATGAATACCAAAGATGCTAAACACAACAACAACAACAACAACAACAAAAAAAAAAAAAAAAAAAAAAAAAAAGAAAGCAAGAAAGAAAGAAAGAAAGAAAATTGAAAAGTGACATGTTTGCTTTTGACATTTTTCTATTGCTATTAACTCAACTGAAACTGATAAAAATGCACTCAATTAATGATATCTTGTGTGTAATTAAAGAACCGAATAATAACTTAATTAACAAATCAAAGTTTCAAATTTGGCTAGCGGATTTCAAAGTTTCATTAGAGAATTGCGTTAAAATAGCTGAATTTGTACCTTTTGAAATACTAAATTAATAATCCGCCTGGTACGTTTACTTCGTATATTGGTCTTTACTAATATCACTTAAGCTCCAGTCAGTTTGAAGGTGGACTAGCACAGTTCGGTATTACTGTGTGTATGTCAGAAAACTTACAAATATTAGCTGCTATTTTAGATTTTGTATGTTTTAAAGGAAGGTACTGGTAAACCCTTTCAGTGCATGTTGAACAGATTCAATATAAAAAAAATGTTCCATTCATCATTTATGCCTTATTTGTTACTATTACGATATATTATGAATAATATTATAGGCAAAACAGAAGTGTTAACATACTGTACAACAATGCCTGCGCATGTTTCATGATTAAAACATTGTAAACAAGCAGTTTGAAGAGAAAATAAAACATTCAAATGACTTTTAGAATTTTAAAATCATAAATCCCTGTCTTGTTGAAACGGAAAACAATGATGAGTTACAACTGCTTATATCTCCTGATAAGTTGCCCTAGCCTCAAACGTTGTATTATAAGGTTATTTTGAGTAGTGACGTGTCGAAAATTCAAGTTATCAATGTAAGAAGGAATAACAAATCGAAGCCAAGTTGTCATTTCACAAAAGAAGTCAAAATCATCAGTATATACGCATATACCAACATCAGGAGAAGTATAAAAACAGCTGAGAATGGGAAAACATTAGGCCATAAGTACTCTTAAAGAGAACGGAATACCAAATGCTCTTAACTGGTAGGCATTTCTTACATGTATGTCGCGTATACGAACTCGAAAAATCTATTTGTAAACTGCATACAAATGATATTGGATTACAGGTAAATTGGTGAAATGCTTGGAAAAAATTGTTGGAGAGAATTGATAAAAACTTATACTTACAACATACAGCTGAAATAAGAAATAAAAAAATCAATTTAATATCAATTCGTTTATCGTTCCTGGTAAATGAAAATTACAATAAGAAAAGTTATGAAAAGACTTGCGAGTTTGAATATCCCTTTAGTATCTTTCGCCTCTCTTTTCTATCATCATATCGCTTTGTACGTTGAATAGAATCTTTACTATTAAACGAGAAGACCTCATTTTGTGTGTCGCATCTTCTCCTTCCACAATAAATTAATCATCATGCCTCTGTGTCCTAAAGGTACCATGCATGTTGCATTTGTCATCCTCGCTTATGATTATTCCGTTTGGGGTATTTTGGGAGGAAAACGAAAATAAAGGCGTCATCGGACGGACTTTTAAGTAATAATCATGACTTCCGTTTAGGGCTGTTTAAAATTATACATAATAGGTACTTGGGGACAGGAAAATTATTTTTCGAATTTTTCTGTATACTATGAACATAAATCTACTATAAATAAAATGAATTTGCTCTTTACTATCAATTCCAAGTTTACTATCTACGGCGGTCACTGATATATGATATGGAGACTCTCTATATAATATATCAGTGAACGCCGTTGATGTTTACCTTGGAATTGATAATAAATAGCAAATACACGTTATCTATAGTGTTTATTTTTAGAAATTAATAGAAAACAAAATAACGGATTTTGGAAAAAAAGGGGGAGGGCTAAAATAAATTGTCCTGTCCAAAAGTACCTATGACTTCTGATACCTTTCCTGAAATTCTCCAGTCATAATTTGTTTTACCCAAATTCATCCCACAACAGTTTGCATACTTCAACCACGCTCTAAATGCCCGCGATATCGCGGGTGTGTTCTAGTATGTTTGAACCAAATAAACGAATACGACGCCCGCAATTGTTGCTTGCATAACCTTTTTCCGATATTTGCGATCCAAAACTTAGGAAGCCAATGGATGTGCAGTTGATATAGGAGTTTGAAGTGTACTATCAAAACACTCCTTCTGATTGATAGATGCTGTTACAATGGTACCAGAAGTTGAATATACCTAAATAGCAATACTGATTTTCAGCACTAATACATAAAACATTGTTTTTTTTTGTAAAGAAGACTACACTTTTTTTAAATATTAAAAGAAACATCGCATACAAAACATTGTTACCAAGACAAATCATCAGTACATATGAATTATTCTACGAATTACTTAAATCATGAGGTACATATACCTAATTATATAACATTATGCTTAAATTATAATATTCTGCTGATACTGTATTTGTAATTTTATAACATACTTACAATCTCCATAATTTGTGAAAGTTCTTGTAACACCATCCGGGTGTGCTGTTGATGTTGGAGTTTGAAGTGTACTATCAAAACACTCCTTTGGATTTATAGATGCTGATACAATGGTACCAGAAGTTGAATATACCTAAATAGTAATAATGATTTATAGAAACATCTATCACCTACAATAGTTGCTACGAATATCTACCGCAATAGATTTCTGAAACTCATTTAATGCACATTTTTTTCTTTTTAAATACAGTTTGGTAGCACTTTACAATTATTACAAAATAAGATATGCTCCATTGATTTTGGGGTAATGATGGACTTTTCAAATGATGGACACACAGTAAAGTCTGTTTTTCATGCAGCTGCAACATTAAAACTCATCAAAAATACCAGGCTTATGATTTTGTACTCTAGACGCTCGTTTCGTCTATACACGACTCATTAGTTAATATCGAATCAAAGAAGTTGGCAGGGTAAACTACATACGGTGTTGAAGAGCATTTAAAACCGAAAATTCTAAAAAGTTGTACCAAATAAGGCTTAGGTTATCTTTACCTGAGGGTAGAAAAACCTAAGATTTCAAGTATTTCAGTATTCCACAAACAGTAAATATATAGACTAGAGGCTCTAAAAAGCCTGTGTCGCTCACCTTGGTCTATGTGCATATTAAACAAAGGACTCAGATGGATTCATGACAAAATTGTGTTTTGGTGATGGTGATGTGTTTGTAGATCTTACTTTACTGAACATTCTTGCTCCTTACTATTATCTCTATCTATAATGAACTTGGCCCGGTAGTTACAGTGGAAAATATTTTGTACAAAATTACAAAAATTTACAAAATTTATGAAAATTGTAAAATATTGACTATAAAGGGCAATAACTCCTTAAGGGGTCAATTAACAATTTTGGTCATATTGACTTATTTGTAGATCTAACTTTGCTGTACATTATTGCTGTTTACAGTTTATCTCTATCTATAATAATATTCAAGATAATAACCAAAAGCTGCAAAATTTTCTTAAAATTACCAATTCAGGTTTAGCAACCCAACAACGTGCTGCCTGATTGGTCTGAAAATTTCAGGGCAGATAGATCTTGACCTAATGAACAATTTTATCCCATCAGATTTGCTCTAAATGCTTTGGTTTCAGAGATATGAGCCAAAAACTGTATTTTACCCTATGTACTATTTTTAGCCATGTCGGCCATCTTGGTTCGCGGGCGGGGTCATCGGACAATGATGATTGTGGACAAATTTGGTTAAATTTGTCTTAGTAGTTTCAGAGGAGAAGATTTTTGTAAAAGATTACAAAAATTTCCGAAAAATGGTTAAAAATTGACTATAAAGGGCAATAACTCCTCAAGGAGTCAACTGACCATTTTGGTCAAGTTGACTTATTTGTAGATCTTACCTTGCTGAACATTATTGCTGTTTACAGTTTATCTCTATCTATAATAATATTCAAGATAATAACCAAAAACGGTAAAATTTCCTTAAAATTACCAATTCAGGGGCAGCAACCCAACAACAGGTTGTCCGATTCATCTGAAAATTTCAGGGCAGATAGATCTTGACCTGATAAACAATTCTAACCGTGACAGATTTGCTCTAAATGCTTTGGTTTCAGAGATATAAGCCTAAATCTACATTTTACCCCTATGTTCTATTTTTAGCCATGGCGGCCATCTTGGTTGGTTGGCCGGGTCACCGGACACATTTTTAAAACTAGATACCCCAATTATGATTGTGGCCAAGTTTAGTCAAATTTGGCCCAGTAGTTTCAGAGGAGAAGATTTTTGTAAAAGTTAACGATGACGGACGACGACGGACGACGACGACGACGACAACGGACGACGGACGCCAAGTGATGAGAAAAGCTCACTTGGCCCTGTGGGCCAGGTGAGCTAAAAAAATGAACATATCAATGATATTTCATGTCAGCACACAAGTGCAGACTACCGGGCAGGCGATACTATCGAGAATGAAATGTCCACCAGAAGTTGCATTGAAGCAGTGGTTGTAAAAACTCATTAAAATTACAAGCTTTTAATTTTACACGGCAGACGCGGGTGTCATGTACATAAGACTCATCAGTGACACTCAAAACTGTTCGAAGACTAAATCATGTACGAAATTGAAGAGCATTCAAAATAGAAAATTCCAGAAACATTTGAGTAGAAAGACCTTAGTGTTGCGAATAATTCAACATTCCATAAACAGTAAATGTACCGAAGCTGCACATAAGATCCTTTAATCCTTTACGCGAAATGAACATTTATACTAGATAAGAAGCGTGAGTTTACTTATTTATAAAGTTATTTAAACCGGTTGCATTTTAATTTGGCAGTTCCATGTGATGATCTTTCAAAAAGATATTTTCGTATGTCACTAACTGCTTTGTCTATCAGGGACACTGGTTATAATAACAGGTGTTTGATTATTTCTAATGAACTTATTCTCAGGTTGTGTATATTAAAAGCTTCACTTATTATATACCGGATTTCTATATCAACATTTACATGGCTTGATTTTGTTGTGTGTACATTCACATATATTTCTCCATGAAAATACGATAGGCTTTATATACTTAGACAAAATACTCCAAATTCATTGACATTTGCTGTTTAATAACAATACAAAATAAATACATGACTAGAACACTAAATGTCCATTTTCTAGTTGTTGGTTAGAAAAAAAAACATATCTGTTCTAGAATAAAACGGAATGACAAAATATTGACGAGGCACGTGAACGTTTCTTGAACATCTCTATAGACTTTACTAAGACTAAAAATGCACAGCAAGTTCAAGATGGTTCTTAGTTAAATTCATGTAATCTTATTTAATACAATACACTATTAAACAATATAAACGTAGACAGTCATATATACATGTAGGACTCGGAGGTGCGATGGGGACGCTGAAGTACGATGGTCATGCTGAAGTGCGATGGTCTGTGCCGAAGTGCGATGGTCCGTTCGCTGATGTGCGATGGTCTATTTGACGCATGATTGTTAGTTTAAAATCTATACAGACGTGCAAGTATCATGAAAAGTAGATTTATTAATAGTTAGTATATAAACTTACATTCATTATTGTCTATGGCTGTCCTTAATTACAGTTTCATACTAAATGAGAGATCGCTGTCTTCGATTTTCTACATGTGGACATAATTCTGCATTAGCATTTTATCTATACGTTGTTTCTCTCATGAGTTCCTCTTTTACCTTAATATCATAATGAAAAGAGTTTGTCTGCAGACCTGTATGTATTTAAGAGAATGTCACGCTCCATCGTACGTAAAACAGAACCTTTTGTAGATTTCGAAAGAAAAATCGCTGCAGGAGGTTGACTTTCGCCTATCCACCAAAAAATCCTCCCCGTTTCGCGTAGTATTAAAATTTTTTAAGCCCCTTATCAATTAACATACACATTGACTTCTACCTCGACATGAAAAACATTGCAAATGTAGTTTGTGTAGACCATCGCACTTCAGCGTTACCACCATCGCACTTCGGCGTAGCTATCAACAAGATAGTGTCACAATGCCACCATCGCACTTCAGCGTGATAAAAAACGCACTTCAGTGTCAAACTATCGTACCTCAGCGTGACCGTCGCGGTTCGGAGTACCATCGCGGTTCAGAGTCCTACACACATATATATATATAAAACAAAGTAACCAGACACAAGCTTATAAATATTAGATTTAATGTTCTAAAGAATGCCCAAATGAAACAACAAAGTAACTTAAACAAAATCTACTTCAAATTTAAATAAATATTAAAACATACCGTAAACCCCACTAAAACGGTGATGAATTTAAGTGTACCTGACAATTCCTACCATACTAGTGGATCCAGAAACTAACAATAGCAAAAATAGACGTATCGCTTATATCAACAACACATTTGCTTTAGTGGACAACTATGTAAATGATTACTTACTAAACAGGCATACTGATAATTAGTTGTACCATCAGGCGATGCATCTTTGTTGTATAGAGTGAGGTAGTTGTTATTGCTACTGGTACTACTATACACACATAGTAACTGACCTCCAGCTAAAACATATAAAAGAATATTCAATAACTATATAGTATGCTGTTTCTATGATAGAAAGTCAACCGCTATAATACCAACAAAAAAATTAAACATCTTCACTATTTTGTACATTGGCAAATGATCTTTAGTTGGCGTTTGTTACACAACAATCTCATAAAAAAATACGCAATAACTGTATGTTAAATTTTTTAAAAAGTACGTGTATTGCTGCTCTTTATCTTACCTTATGCTGGCAGGTCATGGGTTACCCAACTTTAGCCAAGATAAGGCCATCCCTCAGTGCTTGTTTGTTACCTTGATTTGTCTTCTTTATCGATTCATGCAATTTTAGCAGCGGTAAATAAAAGCGACACTAGGTTACCGATGTTATAAAATTTCGTAAAACGATTAATAAGAGACAAATTAAGGCAACAAACAAAAACTGAGGGATTCGCATGAACTCCAGGGAGCGAGACCAGGTGCGTCGACAGAGTAAGCGTATCCTGTTACGCATGCATGACCTACCATGCAAATTCACACTCAGACAACATGAGTAAAAAACAATCGGTAAAAGGATTAAATTGGAGATCAGACGACTATACTGGTATCTTATTTAGACCGCGAAAACAAGTAGTTAGTGGATTCAGCCGCCAATACATCGTATCGCCGAACCGAATCATGATAGTAACCGTAAAACGTATGTAGTTTTAATTTGAGCCGTACTTCCTCATAACTCTGTTGGATAGTTTTTTTTTTGTGTTAGGAGCACACCCCTGTTAATGAAGTCCTTTAATTATTGTTGCCTATACTTGCAATAAGACGGCAATAGTTTAGGAAGACATTAATTCTACATTAGTCGAATACGTTTGCATGTAATCATTTATTTGACTCTTAGTTGGAGATTGGCTGCGCATGTACTCAGCATGTTAATTTAAAAAAAAAAAAAAAAATTTCAACATTGAATCTATGACATGTAATCGAACAGACTTTCGTCATTATATTACTGCACATGCTTTACTACAAATTATATTATTAACTCGGGTCGTTAGACAATCGGATGTTTTCCGTTGTCATCTCAATAGTTAATTAAATATCATCAAATCCGAAAATGCGCACGAAATGCTGATAATTTAATACGTTTGCATGCATTGTTTATTGTTTCCTATTGAACTTTGTTAAATGTTTTAGTATGTTATTAGTCTAATTAAAGAGTTTGCGTCAAATTTGTTGAAATCAAATTGGCAGTTAATGCCCCTTTAAATGTAATTATACATCTATTAAGTATTATATATATCATTATCAAACACTTCATAACTCTCAAATACTAAATTACATAGATTCGCAGACACGAACGACACATTTACATGCATCATCGTTATAATATGTATTTGTATTTGACCATGAGATTTTAAATGGTATATTTTTAACAAATTACCAGTAAACTAACGAATGTAAGTGAAAGTCTAACAAGCCAAAAAAATAAAAGTACAGTGATTTTACATTACACCAGATAAACGTATTTAAAAAGCCTCAAATAGTATCCCGATGTATATTCAATGTTTTATTTTGATTGCTGGATTCAACATTGAGTCAACTTATCCATCTGAAACATCAGTCAACAACCAACGAAGATGTTTTAGAAAACTATTAATTCAAATTTAAGAAGACTATAGTACATAAACATGCATATAAAAATATTTTATAATGATTGGTCTTCTCAATCACAGTCAACAATTTTCAGTCATATTAAAGGGCTACGATTACACAAAAATTAAAATACGATTCTCTTTGTTATAAGTATTGATAAAAGCGGAATTTAAAAATAATATTTCGTTAGAAGCAGTCAGTTTTGCCCAAATTTGTCAAAATTAGCTCAAAAACATCGCTGATGTATTATTGACTTGTAAGTCAATAATTCAACCTCAATTGAATCCGTATTCATGTGACCTACAGTTTATCACCTCTCCTGGTGACGGATTACACATGTATTATGCGTGCTTAGCTATTAAAAGGAAAGGCATGTCAATATTGAAAGTGGCAAACGGATGAACCATTTCGTTGACTGATTAGATCCACAAAAAAATCATTCTTATACAGGTAAAAACGATGATTAACATATTATTTTTTTTTATCTATAACATGAAACCAAGCAGACTTAGAATAATCCAATTGCACGTGCTCGCTATCTACTTATATTTATATTTATGTTTATATCTGGTTATATGCTCGTCGGTAGTCTTCGGAGGTCATCTCGATGGTCAATTAGATGGCGTCTAGACTTAAATATACACGAAATGCTGATACATATTATCGAGTGTATGCATTGTTAATTGCTTATTTTAGACTTTTTGTAATTTGGATATAAGTTTTAGTATGTTATCAACCAAATATGAAATTTTGAGTCAAATCGTTGAACATGAATTTGACAGCTAATGCCCCTTTAAAACTTTTCATTTTTACACCAAATATTCTACTTGAACGTCACATTATCAATCGGACTCTAAGAAATATTAGAAAGTGACTACATGTATTTTGTAAATAGGTTTCAGAAAGGTTATGTTTGGTAAGAGCAACACCAATTCTACTCATTAAAATTTTTGAATTATTTTCAATATGCAGACTTTGTTCTTGATATATTAATTAAGTCAAAGGGCATTTCAACAAACAACAGATATGACAATGGGTTATAATAATGCTCCTTCTTATCTCAAAAAAGAGAAAAAATGAAAACAACACATTTCCAAAGACAAGACAAAAAATTTAACTTAATTTTTCTACTGGAGTTATTTTCTAACTTGATTTGTTTATATTTTCAGCAAAACATTGTTTGAGAAGGAACTCATTTCCTTTTGGGATTGTCGTAAGGTTGTCGTAGCTCAATGAATATTTCCATAATGCTATGTTGGGTGTTTTAATGCCTATAATTGTTTTTGTTTTAATCTGTGTGTTGTTCATCATGCGTCGAGATACCACAGAAACAAGAAGGTTTACTTCATATTAATGTATACTCCTAGACACTGAGACAGATTAACTGTAACATGTTTTTCTGTCCAACTATTCAAGCCGATTTTTTTAAGTTCATTTTTATATTGATATTCAGCATTTGCAAAGACTTAGATCTATCCAACCAAGCTGTTATGAACGAAGGCCATTGGATTAAACTTTTGATACAATGTTTAGAAAGTGTCAGTATGTTAAATTTTTATATATGTTTTCCATTTTATCAACATGGTTCGTTCGATGTACTTCTCTGTACCTTCACCAAGAACACTAAAACCAAATAATTTGAAAGCCGAGGATGTATAAATAATTTATCGCCTGAGGAGTTATATGACCAAATAGGACCGAAAAAGCCATTTGTACCTAAATAATACTTTGCCTTACAGAGTTGGAACCTTAGTTTCTTAAAACAGTGTAAATTTACAACAAAGGTATGTAAAAAGTTACGTCAACACCAAAGCACTGTCTATTGTACTGATGATACCCTTAGGAACTGGCATTTTACTAGCAACTGTATCGATCCTGTGAGAAAATGAAAATGACACTACATTTGGTACATCTGAAGACCTTGTCTCGATAAACCTTCACCAGAACGTTCAAACCCACTAATGTCAAAGCCATGTTTTATAAATACTTGAAAATGACACTACATTTGGTACATCGGAGGACCTTGTCTCGATAAACATTCACCAGATCGTTCAAACCCACTAATGTGATAGCCATGTCTTATAAGTACTTGAAGACCTATATTATGATAAATCTCAATAAAGATATCATATAAATAAAATAATAAATTTGAATTTACCAGAAAATATTTGTTCATCAGCACAAACAGTATAATTGAAGTAAAACTGTGTAAGGGTGGAACACACGTCTAGAAAAGTACTTGTGCAAGTTGTATCACTGTACGAAAATGTCCCATGTATTGACGTCGGACATGTAATCGCCGCATTGTCTTCAGTTCCTGAAACACAACAGTATCAAGCATATGTGGTGTTGTTACAAAACTAACGTCTTAGCTAATATGTCATATACTTAAAACTATCTTCAACTTTCTTGTGCAGTCTATGAATGGAACAGACAAGTTATGTAAGCATAATGTTTCGTTTTTAAGCATTGTATATTCAATTCTTCTCTATGGCCATTTGTACAAGACTAATAGTTCTTCAAGAACATCTGATTTTTTTTTCTTTCTTTCTTTAATTTAAAATGAATTTCATTTCAGTGCTTTCTTCGTTTCTCTTAGTCAAGTATTGTAATGAAACATTTAACATAATTTAGAATAAGACATATATTAAAAGGAGCCAAATATGGACTTTATGAGTATCATTAGATTAATAGTATATTTAAAAAATCTATATCATTTTGGTATTCTGAACGTTAAGTTTTTTGTTTTACCAAAATTATTTTGGGAAATTAATAACTGAATGAAATAACAATAGTTTGTTATACCATGTAGTAAATATCTAGACATAAACAACTTATATTTTTTGTATTTTAAGTTAGTGTTATTATAACACCTTTCATTTTAAAACTTTTTCATATTTAGCTGAAAAAGGATTTATTGAAAATTTGGAAGAAGTACACCTTTTTCAGTTGTTTTTTTCTAAAATGCAAGTCCCAACTAAGGAGTATGAAAGTTGTTTTCCTTCGTTCCGTTGGTTGATATAGTCGAGCATCTGGTTTAGTTAGGTATTACGGACTTTTTTTAATATAACTTGGACTTTAGTACTTTTGTTAACACTTTTTTTCTGGTAATTAGTTAAGCATGTTCAAACAAAATGCATCATTTAAGTCATGCCAGTAACGAGGCACTGGAAACAGGAAAAGTGGTACCCCAAAGAATGTTTGTACAATCGTATGTCTCTCTGGCAAGCCATGTCACCTATTATATACACAATTGATGGAGAGGTTTGATGTTTTGGTACAGTTTTCCTCATTTGGATCATATGCTTATTTATTAAATGTCAAGAAAATGTATATCTAAAGATACTTTTCAATTTCAGTTCGTTAATGAGTGAATAAGAATACCATCTTTTATCGCAACATGTGTCCTTTCGGCCGCTGTTGATTTATCTGCACAAAGGGTAGCAAAAGTAAATGTAGATGCTGTTGGCAACAGAATAATCCTTTCATATACACCAACAGAAAGTTGCGTAGAACCTGAAAATATACGTTATCATTATAAATTTGTAGTATCACTGTATGATGTGCAAATGTATTAAACTTCCTTTCCGAAGAAACTGAATTTCACTTTACATGTATGTGCATATGTCGTTACTGGCGCTAAATCAAATTATGTATAAAATATTCCGCTTGACTTGTAATATCAATTCTTTGAATGCATTTCAGTACTAAAGGTAGAGTGGTGAAAAATACGATATTTGATTAGCAAAACAACTACAGAGCAGATGAAGCATCACTAGAATTGTTCATGCATAGCCAGTTACTACATCTTTATATCACATAAATGTTAAATTTCATTTAAGTAATATTAAAGATTATTATGTCTTAGCTGGTAACAAAATCACAGTTCATCGTCATTTCGAGAATATTGGGATGCAACTCGATTTCATTCTATTAATATTAGCTGAAGTTAAATAAAAACAAATACTTATATCATAACATATAAATGAAATGGTTTTGAAAACATTAGAGAAGTAAATTATCAAAAACTAAATAACTATTTGTCTATAAAAGTATCGGCCTTACTATTTCAAATAATATGGATATACATACTTTCTATCCTGTTTAAAATTAGTGTTAGGCATACAAAACTGTTTATTAGTGATATGTTCATTTTTTTTTAATAAAAGTGGATGTCTTATCAGAATTGGTAAATTGAGCGATTTCCCTAGGGGAAAAGGGGGCTATTGATGAGTGGTAAGGACGAGCCACTGGATAGGTCACTATTTCCAGCTTCGTGATATATGATAAGGTCAAGAAATTAACATGAATGTGTAAGGATGTTTCTGATTAAATCATGAGTATCTGAAACAAACGAGAAGTTATTTTGTCACAGATGCCATTACACCCACTGTCGTAAATCACGCATCCGATTTTTGTCAAATTTATTTATCACTCCACGAAATAGCGTATTCTTGATAGCTATAGTTATATTTTTGTTGTCAAAAATATATGATGGGTATGAGTTTTTATTATTCAAAATATATGAAAAGGGTGGGGTGTTTCATGTCCCAGATGCGTACCTCTACCACAAAAGGATCGAATCACTTCACCCCCTTACTTCCCCTTTTCCCCCCGAAGATTAAACCTAGCATTATGATATTGTAAAGTTACTTGTTAAATATTTTTAAAAATTTACCAGTAGTAATTATCAAGAGGCGAAAAATATCGTATTGCACGAGGTTTGATGGTGGAATCTGTTTCTTTATATATGATTTTAGACGATAATTGAACAACGCTTATGATCTGCAAAAAGATGTATTCTTTCTATGTGACGTCATTATACAAGGTTGATTTTTTTCGTGACGTCTACTAATTGCAAATGTAAAGGAAAGCAAGAAAAATTGACGTAACAATTGACTTTTGACCAATGAAAATTGAGATCAGACGAACAACACCCTGATTATAAGTAAGCAACCGGTCGGTGAAAGTATAAATCGGATACCTCATATGACTATGCAGAGGTTTCGTTTTTGCATATCTATCCGCGTCAATGTACTAATGAAATTCACGCGACGTCATTCATACAACAAAATAATTATTACAGTGATTTGAACGCAAATAAAAACAGTGTTGATAACTACTAAAACCAAATTATTATTATTCTTTAAATATTATTAGCTACAAATCGTTGTTGGTCGTATTCCGACAATGAATGTTTCTTAAGTGATGCAGAAAATCCATAAAACTATACAAACTTTAAAGAGCTGATATAACCGAACAGAACTAAAATATAAAAACCATATCAGGAAAAGGAGTGATTGTCATATAAGTTTGACTTTTGTCCTTATGTCCCTGCGTGTCCTTGTTTGAAAAATCATGTTGTTTTGTATTGATCGAAATTATCGACAATCAGTAAAATATTAATTCGACAAACATTGTGCCGTTCACTTTGCTTATGACATATTCTTTTAGTTTTCATACGAATAAAAGGAAAACGACCTGTTCGTCAATAACTGCAGATTGGTAGAAGATAATATATATATATGCGTTTTGTTAAAATATACTTTTTCACTTTTTTGGTCTTTTGGAAAATGTTGTTTGTGTTGTATTTAGACCCCTCTAACAAGAAATTTGTTTTGCATGCACACGTATAAAAATTGCGGTTTTTATCCAACGCAATCATAGGTTTGAACGTTGTTTTCAATTTAGACTTGTTTATATTTTTTCGTTTGGGCTTGTATTATATTTGCCTTAGGGCTTATATGATCCGTTCATCCTATTTTGACTCCTCAAAATTCAAGAGTCTATCCTAAATTGAGGTAAATTGTTGGGCTTTCCTAATACCGTTTCGATTCCTAACATCACTGAAGAGACATTATTTGTCGAAATCCGAATATGGTGTACAAAAACCTCTGCACCTTTTGTTTGCGGTATATCATCTTTTTCGCAAGTTTATTGTTTTCTGTTTAGTATTAAATTTAAAATTAAGATCCATTTATTACATCGGTGATCCGTTTATTTGGCAATCGCCAATGACAGTCAGCAGGGTTTAAGAACATTTGTTGTTCGACCTGTTAGTCAAATGCGTTTTGTTAAAATATACTTTGATATAGGGGAGGATGTTTTGCAGTCGGAATATTCATCTTCACTTACAGTTGAACACAATTATGAAAATCCAACGCAATCATAGGTTTGAACGTTGTTTTCAATTTAGACTTATATATATATATATATATATAAACAAGTCTTGAAAACAACGTTCAAACCTATGTTTTCAATTTAGACTTGTATATATATATATATATATATAAACGCCTAAAAAGTGTACACAACAACACCAATAACAAAAAAAGGAACTATAAATGTAATTATTTATAAATATTTCGGATAACAGATATCCTTCATCAGTAAATATGATTGTGATGTTGAATGAATCATATATCAGTCTACTTAGATTAAACTATACCAATCTTGAAATTTATACAATAAAAATGTCAAACCGAACATCAGGTAAGACGCTTCGAAATTCTAAATATGTGTTAAACACCACATAGGTTATATGACTAATTACAACAGAGAATTCAAATATATGCTTTAAATAAAAATAATAATGTGCGATATGAACTAGCACAATTCTAAAGCTTTAACGGTGACGACAGTTATGATGTTACAAGAACGATTGCGTCAATAAGAATTCCAAATAAACAGCACTGAACGATCTAAATTTGTAAATATTTTAAATTTGACAACGGTAGAGTAGTTGCAACAGAGTCTGCGTATTTAAACATCGCAAACAAACGGCCGTTAAAATATAATAATAAATTTTGACTAAGGTTAACTAGTTGAACGTGGCTTGGTACTTTTACATCCCTCAAAAAATTAAGCAATTTAAATTGGTATATTCAACAGATTTATTTTAGAGATGAGTAAGGTAAAGAAATAGAAACAGAGACTATAATAAAAAGTAATATAACCCAAATGTGAAGCACTGCATGGAGTCGAACTACATCTTTTCATTTATCCCATTTGGTGCCAAAGTTGTTAATTTTCTTATCCAAAATCTTTCCCGAGTGAGTCTATCCTCCCTAGACCAAGCAGAGTTGTGGTCAATGATTGTAATGGTCAGTCGATTGAGATCTGCCTTAGTGTGGTCAGGGGATCTTAAATGTCGACTGAGAGGGAGGTCTGGCTTGCATTGGTAGTCGCTACGATGACCGTTCATTCGTTTGTGAAACGGCTGTTCTGACTCGCCAACATACTGTTTACCACATTTACACTGTAGGAGATACACAACATTTGTAGTCTTGCAATTAACATTGCAAAATATGGTGTATTCTGTACCAGTGGAGTGACTGTTAAAAGTCTGGGTAACCAGTATTTGTTTGCAAGTCAGACATCGTTTGTTTCCGCAACCCTTGCAAGAGCCCACAGACGAAGAGCCTGCTTGAGAGGATAAATCAGCTCTCACCAGCAAGTCTTTAAGGGTTTTGGGCCTACGGAAAGCCAGTACAGGTGGCTCGGGAAAGATCTTGGATAGTTTAGGATGTTTTTCGATTTCTTTCCAATTTTCGCGGATTAGGTGAGATAAGTTGTCAAATTTTGGATGGTAAGTCAACACAAAAGGCACCCTCCTGTTGACCTTTTTGACTTTATATTGTAAAAGTTCATCTCGGCTGATGTTGTTAGCACGAGAAAAACCTTTATCAATGTCTTTTCTTTTGTAGCCCCGATGTTTTAGGTGACCGCGAAGTTCTTGTAGTCTTTTTTTTGCAATATCGTTGGTGGAGCAAATCCTTTTTATTCGTATGGCCTGGCTGTAGGGAATGCTCTTGGTGCAATGTTTAGGGTGACAACTCAAAGGAGATAGATATTGATGTTTGTCTGTGGGCTTGCAATACAGATCTGTAAATATGTTTCCATCCCTCACTTGCGTTGAAGTGTCAAGAAATGTGATCTTAGAGTCAGAGATTTCATATGTGAATTTTATTGAGGGATGGGCATCGTTGGCATGTTGAATGAACAAGTTTAGTTCTTGTTCAGTATTATCCCACTTCATGTCAATATCATCGATAAATCGGAACCAAGAGAGGGGTTGATAAAGATGTCTGACTTGCAAACAAATACTGGTTACCCAGACTTTTAACAGTCACTCCACTGGTACAGAATACACCATATTTTGCAATGTTAATTGCAAGACTACAAATGTTGTGTATCTCCTACAGTGTAAATGTGGTAAACAGTATGTTGGCGAGTCAGAACAGCCGTTTCACAAACGAATGAACGGTCATCGTAGCGACTACCAATGCAAGCCAGACCTCCCTCTCAGTCGACATTTAAGATCCCCTGACCACACTAAGGCAGATCTCAATCGACTGACCATTACAATCATTGACCACAACTCTGCTTGGTCTAGGGAGGATAGACTCACTCGGGAAAGATTTTGGATAAGAAAATTAACAACTTTGGCACCAAATGAGATAAATGAAAAGATGTAGTTCGACTCCATGCAGTGCTTCACATTTGGGTTATATTACTTTTTATTATAGTCTCTGTTTCTATTTCTTTACCTTACTCATCTCTAAAATAAATCTGTTGAATATACCAATTTAAATTGCTTAATTTTTTGAGGGATGTAAAAGTACCAAGCCACGTTCAACTAGTTAACCTTAGTCAAAATTTATTATTATATTTTAACGGCCGTTTGTTTGCGATGTTTAAATACGCAGACTCTGTTGCAACTACTCTACCGTTGTCAAATTTGAAATATTTACAAATTTAGATCGTTCAGTGCTGTTTATTTGGAATTCTTATTGACGCAATCGTTCTTGTAACATCATAACTGTCGTCACCGTTAAAGCTTTAGAATTGTGCTAGTTCATATCGCACATTATTATTTTTATTTAAAGCATATATTTGAATTCTCTGTTGTAATTAGTCATATAACCTATGTGGTGTTTAACACATATTTAGAATTTCGAAGCGTCTTACCTGATGTTCGGTTTGACATTTTTATTGTATAAATTTCAAGATTGGTATAGTTTAATCTAAGTAGACTGATATATGATTCATTCAACATCACAATCATATTTACTGATGAAGGATATCTGTTATCCGAAATATTTATAAATAATTACATTTATAGTTCCTTTTTTTGTTATTGGTGTTGTTGTGTACACTTTTTAGGCGTTTATATAATTTATTTGTTGTGTACGTGTATCGTTACTCGTAACGATCCAGCGCCCTCGTGGGAAAAATCATTGACTATTATTCAGACGTTATATATATATATATATATATATATATATATATATATATATATAAACAAGTCTTGAAAACAACGTTCAAACCTATGATTGCGTTGGATAAAAACCGCAATTTTTATACGTGTGCATGCAAAACAAATTTCTTGTAAGAGGGGTCTAAATACAGCACAAACAACATTTTCCAAAAGACCAAAAAAGTGAAAAAGTATATTTTAACAAAACGCATTTGACATACATATATATATTAAATTTTAATTTTAATAGTTATAAATAATATTATGTTAGGGGACGACCATCTGAGTTGGGGAGGATGTTTTGCAGTCGGAATATTCATCTTCACTTACAGTTGAACACAATTATGAAAATTCATTTTCATCCTGTTTTGAGCAATATTGTATATTTTCAGTCCTAACCAGTCTATGCTATACATTTCTAAAGTTCGCACTCCCTTTCCCCTAAGAAAATCAAATGGTCGTCCCTTTTGGTTTAGCTCAAGCAAACACTTAACAGTAAAGCTAATGTATTAAATTAATGTTTAGATAATCAATGTTAGCATTTAGTATATGACAAAATGTAAGAAAATGAGTGTAAAATAGGAGTACTAAATGCAATTTCAGCAAATTTTCATATCAAAAAGCGCTACATGCAAAATCACTTTTAACTAATGAAAGCATTCTCGTAAATTATTAAAACTAGACGTTTGTTTAAACAATACTTAAAAGTCTGAATCCAAAGTCTTGGGCGCAAAGGCCTTTTTCCCTAAATGAAGCAAATTTTTGAGGATATGATCTTTTGGACCCAGAATGACGTGTTAAGCCTTGTTGTCACTATCAAAGTTTTTCATTAAAAAATGGTCAGGGAAACTTTGAACAAGAAATCTAGCTCACTCTCCAAGTTTTCCTGATGGTTGGTCAAATAAAAGGCGGATTTCTAAGTTTAGATAGAGTGAAAGTGTAACACTACTAATTCAGACTATACCAGAAAGTTGTAAATATTTTAAATAATAAAAATTCGCATGCAATTTTAACAATTTAAAAAGCTGGGCGTCTACTGCCTGTTTCTCAGATCTGAAGAACTTGTTGTGGTATTTCTTAAATTCCTGGACCAAGTACGCTCTTATATTATATTAAAGGTGTGTTGATTCTTTCAGCACAAGACAAGTTAAGGTAGCGCTTTGACTTGAAATGGTTGTCACTATCATTGATCTTATACAAATATGCTATGAATGCTTGAAATTGAAGATAATCGGTAAAATATTTATTCGAAACACATTGTGCTGTACACTTTGGATATGCATAGTCTTCAAGTTTTCATTTGGGTAAAAGGAAAACGATATGTTCGTCATGACATACAGATTGGAAGTAGATATATATATATATAGTTGTAAATAATATTATGTCAGGTGACGACCATCAGGGTCATGGAAGATGTTTTGCAGTCGGAATATTCATTTTCGCCTATAGATGAGCCAATTACTTCCTGCCTAATTTGATGCAGAAAATTCATTTTCATCATGTTTTGGGCAATGCTTTACCTACCGAATTAGACTATTTACCGGATTTGTAATAACATAAGCAACACAACGGGTGCCACATGGGGAGCAGGATCTGCTTACCCTTCCGGAGCACCTGAAATCACCCCCAGTTTTTGGTGGGGTTCGTGTTACTTAGTCTTTAGTTTTCTATGTTGTGTTATCTGTACTATTATTTGTATGTTTGTCTTTTTATTTTTGGCCATGACGTTGTCAGTTTGTTTTCGATCTATGAGTTTGACTGTCCCTCTGGTATCTTTTGTCCCTCTTTTCTTAACAGTCCTCACCAGTCTATGATATCCATTTCCAAAATTCGAACTCCCCTCCCCTCAAGAAAATCAAATGGTCGTTCCTTTATGTTAACTCAAGCAATTCAAAAGCAAAGCTAAGGAACTAAATTAATGTTGAAATGGTTAATGTTAGCATTTAGTATAATTGCTTACATGAAAGAATGTAAGAAAATTAGTGTAAAATAACAGTACTAATGCAATGTATGCTAATGTTCATATCGAAAAGCACTGTTATCTACTAAAACTAGTCGTTTGTATATTCAATACACAAAGTCTAGAACAGAAGTCACTGGCTCAAAGGCCTTTGTTCCTAAATCAATCAAACTTGTGTATATGTATACGGACGCAACACTTAACTAGCAGTACATATTTCAAACAGAATAGATCCTACGCATATAAGGTGTAACCTTCATCAGATGTAGAAATTTTGGTAAGTTTTGTATCAAATGAACGCGTAATGTCTGATGATCATTAAAGAACACTGTTTGACTGATAATCTTGAATAATAAAAAAGTTGCATGAAATTTAAAAAGAAGGGTGTACTATGCCTGTTTCTCAGATCTGAAGTATCTGTTGAGGTATTTCATAAGTTCCATATGATATTAAAGGTATGTTGATTTTTTCAGCACAAAACAACTTAAGGTAGTGCCTTGACAAAAGATGGTTGTCACTTTATTTGAACTTAAGATAAAAATGCTATGAATGCTTGAAATTGAAGAAATCGACATAATGGGTCCAAGAATTAGTGGCCATCCTGCTTATATAGTTCTTCTTGTCTGACCATTAACTATTTTTTTGTATATAAACGTGCATCATTTATAAACTAAACTTTGATTGACCAACTTTCATCAGAGTCCATGCAAGTTTTATGTAAAACATGATGAGATGCATAACTTTAGATAAATATAAGCATCGACAAATTGTAGGTATAGATAGTGTTATAACGATGAATTAAGTTGTTTGGAATCCTTTTACTATTTATCCATGTTCCCCTTGAAATCCAACCCTTTCTTTAACCAATTTACTAGAATAAACTGTGATAGAGACAACAGGTGACTTTAATCAAGTTTTCTTTAAACAGGTTTTTGATGATAAACTTTGAAAATGGCCATTGTTATATTATAGTTCGTTTGTGTGTGTGTTACATTTTAAAGTTGTGTTTTTGTCTTGTCGTTGTTCTCCTCTTATATTTGATGCGTTTCCCTCAGTTTTAGTTTGTAACCCGGATTTGTTTTTATCTCTATCGATTCATGAGTTTCGAACAGCGGTATACTACTGTTGCCTTTATTTGATAGTTGCAACAGCGGTATGGGTTTTGCTCATTGTTGAAGATCGTACGATGATCTATAAAAAAGTATAACAAAAATACCGAACTCCAAGATAAATTCAAAAAGTGGAAGTCCATAAAAAATGACAAAGACATACGCTATCAATCAACGGAACATGTGAAAATACAATAGTTGTTAACTTCTACATCATTTGGTCTCTAGTGGAGTGTTGTCGCATTGGCAATCATACCACGTCTTCTTATTTCTATATTTATAAGGTAAAGATTCATTTAAACATGTATATGAAAAAAAGAGATGTGGGTATGATACGTCAAGTAGAAAACAACCTAAAAACAAAAATAACCAAAACCCCTTATGCGAGCAAAAAGCAGTCTTCGAAAAATGGATAGGCGTTTATAAAGCTATAAATGTCTGTGAACACGAACAGATTTCTTTTGAAACATGTTAAATGATTTCATTATTTTTTTGTGATAGGATCGGCTAAAGTCATCTTTTCATTGCTATGCTGCAATTTCAGTTCAACATTGTATTTTTCAATTTTAGAAATTTTGAGAGATACATTCCGTTAGAACCTACAACGCTATATAGTGTGATTAATAAGGCTAATGAGTTTTTATTAGAAGCTAATTGCACAAGTTAATATGAAATTGAAGAAGAAGAAAAATCACTTCTAAATCAAACATACAAATGCAACTTTAAGATTGTTATAAATTAAAAAAAAAAAATTGCTGCACCAATAGCTTTGTTAATATATCAAGAACGTTTTGCTGCAGTTTACCTTGTACATCGAATGTCAGTCCTAAGACGAAAATAATTCAATGACTTAATTTCCATCAGTTGTAATTGAGGAAAAGTTGATAAAGAACCAAGATGCAATGAGAAATATAAAAAATGTAAAATTAAAAGATAGGAAATGTTTATAAAAAATACCGAAACGAAGTAAGATCCTAAGTTAACAGTAATGAGAAGCAATTGAGTTAAATAAAACTGATTAATGGACCAACTTGTTTTATTTAATAAAATTATATCAAAGAAAGTACTTGAAATAATAACTGATAAAATAACTGAATTTGAAACCATATAATGTGTCAGTTTTCGTGGCTGTTTTGTATAATTTTAATACAATATGCCTTAATTTAAAGACCACTTTAGTGTTAAAAAAATATAACATTCACACATACTGTATAGGAACAGTGATTATTCATCTGGACCCAACACCTCCTTTGCTTGATACAGAAATATCTTTTGCATTCATTTTACATCATTAATATTAACAAAAAACAGCAAAACATTTAACTAGAGGCTCTCAAGAGCCTGTGTCGCTCACCTGTATCTACTGTGGTTTTGAAATTCATGTAAAATAAGGTTAACATTATATAGATACCCTTATAATGATTGAGGCCAATTTTGGTTTAATTTCGCCCAGTTGTTAAATTAAAAGCAGAAGATTTACAAAAATTACCAATAAATTGCAGAAAATAACTTTAAGTTAAAGGACAATAAGATGTCAATTGCCTATTGGTCATGTTAACTTATTTGTAGATCTTTCTTTGCTTGATATTTTTGCTGTTTACAGTATATCTCAATCTATGATGATATTCAAGATATTTAACAAAAAATAAAAAATTTCCTTCCCTCCGTTTCCAAAATTTATTTCAACCAGGGCCTGTATAATGCTGAAAATTCCTTTAAATGTCTGTATGGAACACCTTTCAAACAAATTTGGGCAGGGGTTCCCTGACCCCGACTAACCCGCCGAGTGGGGGGGGATGGGGGGGGGGGGGGGGGGCATTCACCCAACATAAGTATGCTGAAAGAAAAGATATAATAATGGTTTATAGAAAAAGTAACACTGAAAATGGAACATATCAAGGAGAAATTATTAGCACCGCCCCCCCCCCCCTCCCGGAAAAATTTGCACCCCCTGGAAAATAATAAAATTGAGATTTGCTCTAAATGCTTTAGTTTCAGAAAGATATTAAGCAAAAAACTGCATTTTACCCCATGTTCTATTTTTAGCCATGGCGGCCATCTTGCTTGGTGGGCAGGGTCATCGGATACATTTTTTTTTAAACTAGATACCCTAAGGATGGTTTGGTTTAACTTGGCCCAGTAATTTCAGAGGAGAAGATAACACAAATTTATGAAAAATTGTGAACATTTGACTTTAAAGGGCAATAATTCTTTAAGGGGTCATTTGACAATTTTGGTCATGTTGACTTGTTTGTAGATATTACTTTGCTGAACATTTATGCAGTTAACAGTTTATCTCTTTCTATTATAATATTCAAGATAATAACCAAAAACTGCAAAATTTCCTTAAAATTACCAATTTAGGGTAGCAACCCAACAACGGGTTGTTTGATTCGTCTTAAAATTACAAGCAGATAGATCTGGACCTGATGAACAATTGTACCCCATATAAGATTTGCTCTAAATGCTTTAGTTTCAGAGATATAAGCCAAAAACTGCATTTTACCCCTATGTTCTATTTTTAGCCATGGCGGCCATCTTGATTTTTTGGCGGGGTCATTGGATACATTTTTAAACTAGATACCCTAAAGATGATTAAGGCCAAGTTTGGTTTAATTTGGCCTAGTGGTTTCAGAGGAGATGATTTTTGTAAAAGTTAACGACGACGAAGACGGACGACGGACGCCAAGTAATGAGAAAAGCTCACTTGACCCTGTGAATCAGGTGAGCTAAAAAGGCAATAAAACAACAGCATCTAGACAATCACATACCTGATCCAAAGTAATACAAGTACGAGTCCGTTGACGATGCATCTTTCTGTTCAAATTTCACGCATAAATAGATATATTTAGCTCCGCCAAACAGAGTGTATGTCGCTGAAGATCTAAATAAAAATACAACAAAGTGCAATATGAGACCACATCCAAAAAAATACAACTAAATTAGATTCTTTATATCGTATTATTAATAAAATTAACTTTAACTGAGTAAAAAAATCTATGATAATAAATGATATCAGTGTTACTACACATTTCAGACATCTATAAATTAGTATACTGACTTAAGTAAAGTGTATCCATCAGTATCTGTAGTATCATCTTCACAATTCATTGTGGTTTTGAAAGGTCCAGCCGTACTACTTGTTGTAACTTCAAAATTGTTTATTTGTAACTGATCTGCAGAAATTGTCCATGTTCCTCGGCTACTTGTTCTCCAAGTTGATGATGCAGGAAACGGTAATGTATTAGAACATGCTGGCTCTGTAAAGGAATTTAATCATAAATAAAGCCGAAAACTAATGCTCATTTTATTGCAATGTACTTATTTAATACATACTTAGAGAAGATTAAAATATGCGATGTGCAAATACAGGAAACGGTTGGAGTGGATGGGTAGGGGAATGGCGGGCTTTTGTTTACTGTCTTCAAAGAAAGAACGTATTTGATAGGTTTTAAATACAGCGTATCATGAGGTTACCACTGACCAATCAAAAACGTGAGGTTTACGTCAACGAGATAGCAATCAAAAGACAGCTAGAAGACAACATCTTCAATATTCTTCATTAATCATATTTCTGCTGTTAAAAAAAAAACTAATTTTGATATGGATATGGTCCTTAGCTTTCAAGTAGATAGTTTTATTTTTACTTTATTATGATGTGTTTTCTTCTTTATGATAATGATTACAAACGTATATATAACTTAAAAGTAGGAAGATATCAATAAGACAAATGAACAAGGGTTGACAATACTTTAACCAAAAGAAACAACATGAAAAACGAAGACACTTCACAGACAAATAATTTTATTAACTTTTCTTTTCTATTCGTCTGTTTAATTTCCTTTTGTTAATCTTATTCGATAAAACGGTGACTATTTACTTATCTATCATACATAATTTTGTATGGGTCATAATTATTGCGTCAATTTTATCACTTTTGAAGGAGTTTAAATTGGGTTTTAAGGAATCAAACAACTTCAGAAGAGTGAAAGTGTATTAACTTTAGATTTCCATCTTGTTCCCAGTGTGTTCCTTGTTTAGACCATCATTTATAACATAACATTGTCATCTGATTAATTCTATTAGTACATATATCTACATCAATATGCATACACATGATATATAACGATATTATGAAATGGATGAGTATTGAGAAAAGTGACATATCTTTTATATATTTCTATAATATTTATGTGAAAGACGATAAGTAAGTTGACGGTTATGAATAAAATAATTGATATCAGCGCAATTTTAAACGACGGATCAAACTATAAAGACCAATTAACGTGGCTGGGGTGTCTTCCTCCATCTTAGATTTTGAAGAAGCAGTTAACAATTGGGATATATCTTTAATGAAATGTGCAAATTTTGAGAGTAGTATGTAATTCATGTGTAAAACTTTTCATGTTAATATAGAAAATTATGTATTTTATCATATTTACGTCTGTAAAAAAAACACAATATTTTTGTTTGATTCATTTTTTTTCAACTTTGCCAAATAAGGGGAGTTAACTCAAATAGTAGGGGAGATAACTCAGATAAAGTAATTTTTATAATAGAAAGTGTTGTGAATTTACCTATTTTAATATGTAGCAAGAAAACAAGTCCGGTGACCCCATTTTTTTTCTTATCTGAAAGCATGTTATAAGAGCTATATTCTCACATTTTATCTCAAAATTCTATGGTGCAGTTTTCTTTTTATCACACAAAATTAGATTTTCCATGCATAATCTATACAAAATCTGACAATTTTGCACAACCTGTAGCGTGAAAAAAAGTCCTGTGACCCATATTTTTTACTATATTTTGGAAAAATGCATGATAAAAACTACATTTTGACAAATTATTAAAGAATTCTATGGATTTTAATTAAGACCCCCCCCCCCCCCTCCACCTTAACAGAACGCAACAGCAAATACACAGTTTAGAGACCATACAAAAGTAAGGACGCAACATATATATTTTAGCATTCACAATCGCAGGATATCTACTGTCATAATTTTGCACAAATAAAATTAAAAGTGTTATGATACCACGTTTGTGACTTTTCCTATTATCTTATATTCCTAAGGTCATGGGCATAATTTCTTAACGAATTAAAGCATATTGAAATCACAATCAAGACATCAGTTACCATAACAAAACATTAGTATAGGATATAACAGGAGGACGTATGTGCAAGTTGTTATATCCCTTTTACAGTACAGTCTTAAATGTATGATACATTTTTCCTCATCTGCTACATTGTATATAGTCCTGCAGATTGGTGACAAAATTGTGGGTTTGATGATAAAAGCACATAATATATAATATTATAATCTGAATAACTATTCTATCGATAGCTATTATGATTTATAAAATATATCTGCCCCCCTCGAGCTTAAGCTCTCTGACAGATATCAAGATCTCGGGAATTAACTGGTTAGATTGAAAAAGGCATGCATTTATCTATAAATATCAAATTTACTGATAAAATAGACTTAAACATGTTTAACTCTGACACTTCTGTTTCAAGTCAAGAGTATGTAATTTAGTGATTGTCTTTTGTTGCTGTTTTAATATTGATTTTTCGTTTATTGTTTTGGACAATATTCAGGCCGTTTCTCGTTTGCATTGTTTTACATTTGTTATGTCGGATCCCCCTTTTTTTGCTTGCTATGCGGTATGGGTTTTGTTCATTGTTTAAGGCTGTACGGTGAACTACAGTTGCTAACTTTTTTATGTCATTTGGTCTCTGGTAGAAGTTGTTTCATTGGCAATCATACCACATCTTCTTACTTTTATATTTAGATGGAATTCGCTATGTTATGGAAGTCCATTTCTTTGTTGAATAATATAGACATCTTAACCAACAATTTCGCATTCGAACGTAGCAAAAGTGAAGTTTACTTTAATTTCATCCTCATCTTTGATATAGGTTGGGGAAAGATCAATTCGTAATTCATGAAACGATGAAGGGAAGGAAAATGAAGGGACAATATTGACTTCGGTTCTTATAATGGTAAATATCAAATGATACCGATCACTATGTAACATAAGGACACCTCAAATAGAGATTATGTTACCTAGTCATAAGGACACCTCAAATACAGATTATGTTACCTAGTCATAAGGACACCTCAAATAGAGATTATGTTACCTAGTCATAAGGACACCTCAAATACAGATTATGTTACCTAGTCATAAGGACACCTCAAATAGAGATTATGTTACCTAGTCATAAGGACACCTCAAATACAGATTATGTTACCTAGTCATAAGGACACCTCAAATACAGATTATGTTACCTAGTCATAAGGACACCTCAAATAGAGATTATGTTACCTAGTCATAAGGACACCTCAAATAGAGATTATGTTACCTAGTCATAAGGACACCTCAAATACAGATTATGTTACCTTGTCTCCTATCACATGCTAGACAGTATTATTGAGTTCTAATTCATGAACATCTCCAATCTTACAAGAGTTCAACTTGGTATGTTTACATCTCATAAGTGCCAGAGACATATTCTATGTGAAAAGCTATATTCCAAGAATAATAGGAAAAACTACGAGACTCAGTATACATGTAGATGATAAAATCACAACCGCTACATATGTGTATATACATACATGAATCTGATACACTGGCTGAAAATCAAATGGCAAATACCTACCAACATAAATCATGTTTGATATGGTTAATTCAATGTTATTTTGTGTATATAAATAATATCAAAAGCATATTTTGGAGATGCACATTGGTGTAATGTAATAACGATTGTTCAATGGTACATAGCAATCCGAATATTTGTCTAGGCGAATTGGGGATACAAAAAAACCTACTCCATTGGCATGTTCGCAAATATTATTAAGTACATGTTTTGTTATGGAACATCAAAAAATGTAACTATTCAAAACATAAAACAGGCAGTGCATAGTACTATTAGGAGCCGCATATTTTCCCAAACGTTCAAGACAATCTACTGGTTTATTAGGAATAACTGATACGAAATACCAACGGACTAACGAAAGAACGGACACATTTCTTTCTTCTTTACCCTGCTTTGATATATGACGGGGGCTAAAAACAATTGCCGTTTTTGTCTTTCATATTAACTGCCCTTGTGATTAAAACAGTAAGAGATGGTAAGATAAAATGTACGGATAGTTTATATAGCTCTAAGGACAAATTGATAAACATCGAGTTTGTGTCGGCATAGATACATATAGCTAAACTGCAACTCTTCGGAACTATAACTTAAAGCTCAATGTGCATATAGAATTATGTTTTGCGTGCTAATACTTGTTTATATAATAAACTAACCAACAATTGGAATATGTATGCATTCAATACTTACCAATTACAGCTATCCTCGTAAAGATTACACATATAACGAAAATCCAAACCATTACTGTCTAAAAGCTGGTGTATTCCAATTTGTTTATTTTATCATTTTATTTTTTATAGTAGCATAATCCAAAATGTAAAACAGAATTGCTAATATTTATTATTATTCCTTGGAGCCATGTTTAATTCATATCCTATTGTTTTAATTTCTTTTGTGTCGTTAAGTTAGTATCAAATTGAAAACATTTTTGTTTTGACAAGTCAATCATAATAGTATTGTATTACTATTTTTTTGATCTACTCCTTTGTTACAGTAAACACGACGGGAATACACATAGAACCCAATACTGATCGAAAGTTCACGCACATTGATTTTACCGTATGGAAAAGTCGGGGTTCAGTTTCGACTAATGTAAATCATTCAAAGTTAAGAGTGATTCTCCGTTTGAATGCATTTGAGCGCTATTTAATTGAAATTCATCGGAAAGAAAAGTCAAAGATAATAATTATTTATTTTAGTCACCAAATAAGTTCATGTGGTCTACATAATTCTCCCTATTGTCCTTACAAATATGCATATTTATATTCACATAGGATCGTGATTAAAGACTTTAAAAGATCTTTTAAAATTGTGGAAGAATGGAAAAGAAAAGCTTTTATCCACTTTACAAAGAACGTATTCCACATTAGATAAATAGTTTAACATTCATCGATTTTGATATCAATTCTCAAGCTAGATATTTATTTTTATTTATCACTTTTTAAAAATAAATCTAATAGAAAACATTTTAATTAACAATTAAATTAATACACTCTTTAATGTCTTTTTTTTATGAATTTGATATCTTAGTTGAAAAAAAAGATGTGGAAACTTTATTCATACAAAGAGATAGTTTTCACAAATTCCGTTCTAGACCTACAAAAATAAGAAAGAAATGAGGTTCAATAAAGAAAATTTCACTTTTGTATGTACTTTCTATTTATTCAATGTTTATACTTCTGAATACTGCCATACTACATCTTACATACATATGCTTAGTTTAATATAAAATGTTTTCGGATCATCCAAAGAAAAATACAAATGTGAAAGTCTCATTTTTTACTAGACGAAGGGAGAAAACTCGTGTATTTAAAGCTACCCAATGCATGATCAATTTAAACCATGGTAAATAAGCTTGAAAATAAATATATATTTCCGCTAATTTGTACAAGTGTTTTATCAGCAGAAAGTGTAATACAATTTCATTTAATTGCTATTGATTCCATAATTGGTTTCTCAATGAAATTTACTTTTCAGCTGGAAATCCGATAAGAGCTTGAACATTGTTTGTCATACTGGACTTATTTTATTTACATTCTTCCTTGGAAGACTTGACATATTTGGGTTTATTTTTCTTAATTGTTTAAGCTAAAAAAATCCATTACTATTGTTAATTATCGACTTCCTCCCCCGTTTACACTTCTTACAAAGTAATATTTGTCATGTGACGACTTATTCAGGTACAATGTAGCATGTACTTTCTTTGTGACAATGTTATTATTAGCCATTGATCTTGAAATTCATTATCTTCTAAATTATGACATTGAATTTAATAATATGAATTAAGTGTCAAGCTAAGTTTATAAGGCAAAATGAGGTTCAGGTTCTACATTTATGAGGTTGTTTTATTGTTATTAGGCAATTGTTGCATACGTGCATTACAAAAACAGTTTTAACTAATGGAATAATTACAATAAGATAACAATCTAATATCAAGAGGTCTACAATGTACGAAGGAACTACCGGCGGTATCACTAGCTATGTAAGCTCGGTTATGCACCAGACATGAAGGGTCAACAGGCCATTACCATAATAGTACAGAAAAATTATCTGTTCTACAAATATTGAAAATATTTACAATATATTACAACAACAAGCGTCTGGGGGAGAAGTTCGTGTATCAATAGGGCCATTAAAGTACTGACTAATACCTTATACAAAATTAAAGGACAAAAGGAAATATGTTTTAAGTATCTTATTTAAAGTATTATATTTCATTTTTATGAATATATTTATGCTTAAGTACAGTGTAAGTTTGCTTTCCCTAGTTCGTTGTCTGGGGTCAAAATGTATCACAGTTTCATTTCGGTCATTTTTAGAACTGATGGTCATTTTTATAACATCTATTACGCTTGTATTTTCAACAAGATCTTTAAGGTGCCACTTGTATTGTATTGCTAATATATGTTTGAAGATAGGTCCCACATGTACAGTAAATCCTTTTAAACTGAACAAACCTCTTCAAATTATATTAAAATGCGACATACATTATACATGAGCATCTGCACTTATTTAAATGCATTTGTAAATACTGACATGTGCATCCATTCGGTTTTTTTGCAATAAAAGGCTGTGTATTCCTTTTAAATCAAATACCTCTTAATCTTTTTTACCATACAATATATTCCATTGAGAAGATTTTCCGCTTGGGTCTGCCTTCTTTGTTGGGAATGTTTACGCTGATATTATGAATTAATTATACAGTTTCTTTGCAAAACTCTAAAAAAAACATTTGATTTCAAATCACTCAAGATGAAAAATATATATAATCAGCTTACAAATCAAATATATAAAAGTGATAGTACTGATACACCTAAAATGAGCATGGAACTTCGTACACTTGTCTGGATGAACACTTGAGGGAAAATTATAACATTGGTTTTTTTATGTTTTATTTTTATATCTATATAAAACTGACAGTTAATTGAAATCTACCAAAAACAAAATTATTTCTTGGAACTAAATATACCCATCTTCTTGCAGATTTATTCCTTTATTTGTATCATAGTGCTTTTCAACAGGATTGGAAAGAAGCTATTATAGCACTATCCTTATCTTTACGCTTCGAAATAGATATTTATGTGTCGATTTCACTTATTCAAAGTCTGTTTACTTTGTTTTTCGAACAAACCCCTTTTTGATTAGAACATTCAGTTTTTATCTCCAAGTTGATACGATATACATGCACAGTACTTTTTTTCTTTAACAATTTCCATCAAAACAGGTTGCTGCGTACAACAAACTATTCTGCTAAGTGTATGTATTGGTGAAGTTAATGTAAAACAACCGAAAGTTGTACAGGTACAAAAGAATTAATTATGATTTGTTTGTCTTTTAAGGAAATCTGCCACCAATACATCCTTGTTGTCCTTTCCTTGATCTTCAATAATCACCAAACACAACGGAGTTAGGAGATGATGGGTGGTTCTCGTGGAGAGAAATTTGTCGAAGCCTCTATATAATGTCTTCCTTTCCTTATTCAAATCTAACCAAACGCTACAAATACTTTTGGAAAACGTTCTAAGTCGATTTCATAATAAGGTTTTTGGTATTCAGTTTTTTTCCGTGAATTTTTCTTTTATTATATTATTAACCTGTGTATTTTCTTCGATTTATGATCTTTTTTTGTCCCCCGAGGAGTAAGTACCAATTATTTATATAGAAACTGTTGAAGTAATTAAAGAAGATTGATAGTATAAGCAAAAACTGGTTGAATCTTTTAAGTTTGCTAAAATGCAGTTTATATAAGTACCGAAACACGTGAATAGTTATAGGACAAAACGGAACATAAAAGTAAGAGCCAAATCCATCTAAGGTCAACTTAGAAAGCATGATGCTCATATTTTGTTATGATTTGACAAGGAAAAGCACTATTGACTGACAATTAGAAAAACTTTATGATAAAATTTAAAACAACCAAAATATAGCTGTCATAAAACATGTAATGAAAATAGATTTCTACGGTCGTCATCATGAAAGTTTCATTGTTACATTGTCTCCATTTCTTTCCTTTCAAATGTTATCAAGGGTACTCTATCTTATAGAAATGTGACCCATCTTTTCCGTCTAATCCTTATGATTCCTCTGCACGATGGACTTCAAAATACTGTATGGGTTGGATAAATACACAGCCACGTCCGGCCGGAATAGGGACGTTAAATCAGGTTCCTCTTGTAGGGAAATATCGCGTTCTATGCACGCTAACTGACCAGTGCAAAACTTTATCAGGGTTCTGCATTTGGCCTATGTTTTTCAATTGCAGTCCAAATTTCCCGCCTTTCATCCTAGTCGACTTGATTTTCAAAACACTCCTGAAACTTTAAAGTTGATATGCACGTGCACTCATCTTCAATTTGCATGAAAAATTTCATGCCACTGGATGTAAGGAAACAACTTTCAATAACCTCACTAGAAACATATTAAATTGAAATAGATTCCACATGTCCACTTTATAAATCTGACATTGTTATCGGTTTAGAAATGTTTCTACCTGTGATACAACTGTTAGATTTTCGAGAAAAGTTATTAATCCGGAAGTCACATTACAAGCAGTAACTATTACAATATACTGTCAAGCTAGACACCGAAAGGGAATCCTCAAATATTTCTAAATTATGTTTCTAATATATATATATATATATATATATATATATATAAATTATGTTTAGGATTATAATTCATGAATTAGTCCCGTGTGCTTTTAAAATATATTGAATCAAAATCATTAAAACTATAACTAACTAAAACATAAAACCCAAGACTGAATGCACCCAGAGGTTTCGAAAATAATAGACAACTGTCAATACCATACGTCAAGTTACTCTCCCTTGTTTGTTTGTTAGTCAGGCTTTAATGTGTATACTTAAATTTTATTATTAAAATTAATAACGTGTTTTATCGGTCATTTGAACTATAGTGAATATACCTGTATATTCCTCATTAAATTGTTTGAAATTTTTCTAAAACGTTGAACTTTATTTGTCAAACGAAGGTCACATGTTTTACACATATGCACATGTGTGATACAAACATCCGTTTGGTAATACCAGTTTTGTACATTCTTGCAAGGTTTCACAGTTGTATACTTTATATAAAAGACTTTCTCATTCCCATTCAACCCAAGTAATCTCAAGACTGTTTATGATAAAGTCTTGCAAAATGTCTGCTTGGATGGGCTTCAATTCATAATATGAATTTAATATGAATCAAATGTTGATGCTTTTATTGTTAGTTAAGTAAATTCTTACTTCGATGTAATCTAAAAGTCATCTATTATATCAAAGCTCTATAACGACAAATCAAATAACAGATTCCTGTATACCATTTATTAATATGTTTACAAAATAATTGATATTTTGAACACTAGTCCAGTTAAACATCATTTAATACTGTTAATAGTTACTGTAGCAATAACGTTAACTCAAAAATATAAAATCAAAGACATGACGTACTGTTTACTCGGATGATCATAAGGGCTGGTGAAAAAAAACGATACAGAACTAACTTGCCGATGTTTTCACGTGAAGCGTCAAATACTACAGTTGCATTTAGAACACAACTATAGGTCAATATTATAATAATAATTAAACGTATACGTGTGAACGGCATATCAATGCTAGTCCAACAGTCCTGTCTTCACCTTTAAACCAATTAAAATGACCATAAACTTTTTATTACACGTTTATTTAAAAAAAGTATAAAATATTAAATACAACGTTATACCTTTTCGTTACATTTTCTTGAATATATTGTATATATATTGTAACACATTACACTGTGCAAACACATTCAGTAAAAATACATCATTTGATAACTAACCGCTTAGGACCTGGTCTACCATCATTGTACACAAAAAAAAGAAGTCAGCGATTCGTGATTTGTTGTTTAGATGATTACATTATGTACAAGCCATCTCCTGGTGTAAGCAATTTTTCCTTATGCGATTGGTTTCGTAGAGTAGGTACAGTTGGAAGAATGGACAAATAGAAAACAGAAATGTGGATTCATCTTATAAAAAACACATGTCCATTATAAAATAATTAAACAATGTTTATCTTCATTCATTGCATTATGAACCTACATAGTCATTATCCTAGATACAATAACCACACCATGTGTTTACTACTCTCGCGATTAGAGAACAGCTAACACATGGCTACATTATCATATCTAACCTACATGTATTTCAAGTAAAATAGCCCTAAACTTTGCCTAATTCATTATTGTGAGCCTTATGATTAACAAAAAAAGCAATCTATAACTTTATGCCGTTTTATGCAACACGATGTGAAAGTTTAAAAAAATATCAATCGTCGACTTATACATATGTCTAAATATTTATTTGATTTCTCAAAATGTTTGCAGACCACGTCCCGCATTCGTTAAAGTGCTAATTGTTCTGTTCGCCCATTCTTCTTATTTTCCATGTAAACAAATAAGTTTTGGATGCATCTTCATATGAGCTTTTAATGCAAGACTTATCTCCAGATTTCACCGCTTTGACGAAGGTACAAAGTTCATTATAGTAAGAATCGTTGCCCCTGAATGTGTAATCCACATCTTTATCAGGATCTCCTGATTTAATATCTCGTACACGTAAAATACACTCGTCTTCGTACGGTCGAATTAGTGACAATTCCATTCCGTCTAATTGAACCTCAACTGTTGCTTCGTATCTACTTCCGGGTATGGCTATAGAATGCATCAGCGTTCCAACAGCGCCGTCTTGGAATCGCCAATGACTAAGCGTTACCCTGGGGAGTTTTTGACCAGGAGGAATATCTTCCTCACCGTCATGTGGCAAATGGGATAAACATCCGGCGCCAGATGGGTCGTTATCTCTGAGCATAATGGTATGGACCGTGTCTAAGTTGATATCTCCAACAATATATCTTCCTAAATCACACAGATGGGTAGCTTGTTCAACTATTGGTCCACCGCTCAGATTTTGGTTGTACCAGTATTTATTGACGCCATCTGAGTATGCGTAGTAATATCTGGCATTGAAGGCCATGACTTTCTTTCCATGTTCTTTAATAAGTTCCTTCATTTTAATAATTGCGTCATGGTATCTGAAAGACAATGAATGACACAGACAGTTATTTGACAACCTAACTTTACAGTGCATTGTGCTTATCAAAGAATAATATTTTGTCATCTTAATTCTCACATGTTACAGTTATCTTATATATCAAGGTCATAATGAAACTAGTACTGGGTATGTAAATGTTTCAAGGATGCAATCAGTAATCATTTAACTTGTACATACTGCTCATGTTGTATAAACATTTTGTTCGTACTCTTGACTTTACATGAAAGGAATATTTATACAAAAGGAGAAGAGGTGCATTTTAAATTTTTCATTCTTTGTAAAATCATACAAAAGGCTACCGATTTAACAAGATACCAGTATTTTTATTACTCCTATTACAAATCAAATAAACACTTGAAAACTAAAAAAACGTTTTATGATTTTTAACAACCTATCAAGAACAACATTGAAGAACAAAAATGTGCAAAAGAATTGTTTTGACCTTCTCAAACTGATATAGTTATTTTCCTACCAAGTCCCTGTTTGAGAACTTACTCAGGAATAGTTCTATAGTCGTTCGTATATTATATAGACTGTAAATGGTATGTTTATTTTTGTACGACATTACATAATTGTAAAGAATATTGAATTTTCTTGAGAAGCCCAAACGGTACTTTTATATCATATATACTTTGCACTTATAAGTACCTAAACATGTAACCAACAGACACAATCACATTATTCTCATTACTGGCTCTCTGTATTTCCTCCTTGTACTGATCAAATTTCTCTGGTGGAACAACTGAAAGAGGCTTTTCTACAAATACATGAATTCCAGCTCTAACAAATTGTAGCTCTATGTCATGACCATTTTCTAATGAACCACGATATACTGGAGGAATTCCTATGAACACTGCATCCGGCTTAAGGGCAATCAAATCTTTGAAGTGTGTAAAAAGTTTACAGTCTTGGTAGAACTGTTTAGTTTGGTCTGATGACAGTTTAGCCTTTAAAATACTATCTGATAGCTTTGTATCTGGATCAACAATAGCAAGCACGTTTATCTGGCCCATCTTTTCCAGCCTTGTAGCATGGGCCCAAGGCAATGTTCCTCGGCCAAAGTGAATTGCACCAGCTCCAACGAATCCAATTCTCAGACTCTTCTTTTCCATAATCCTAAAATATAATAACGTTTTATATTAAATCAAAATTTAAAAGCCACACAAATATCTTAAACTGTGCATTCTAATGAAATTTTATTATGAGTTAACATGTTTGAAATGCACTTTTATATTCTAAAAATAAAAATATTGTGAAAAAACGGAAACGATATTCAGGGACATATAAAAAAAAAAACTACAAGCCCAAGAAGAAACATACAACATTGCTGATTGTTGAAGGCCGTACGGCAATCTATAGGCGCTAACATCTACGTGATTTGGTCTCTGGTGGATAGTTGTCTTAATAGCAATCATACCACACCTCCTCATTTATATAAATAGCAGGTCCAAAAGAACAATGACGAAAACAAAACACCAGATGAAAAACTAAAGAACGAGCAACACGAACCTGGGATGAATTTAGGTGCTCGGGAACTGTAAGCAGTTCCTGCTCCACTAATGACACCTTTTGTGTGTTATATTGAAAATGCATATCATTTTATTTATTTCTGTTCGTATTATTTTCCTTAAATGACGTAAGTATGAAATGCACGAAGACATATGTATTTCATCAAGTAGTGCAAATGAAACAAAAGTTACACAGTACATCATATATATGTAGGAATGTATAAAGGAGGTACAATACTATAGTTATGTTTACGCTTGTGAAGACGTATAGCAATGGTAATATTTATCTTTTATTTTTATCATCGATTTCTTGTTATCAGGTCATAAAGTCGATCGCATCCTAAAAAATTTAGCAATAGGAGAAATTTACCGATGGTTGAACGGGCTAATTTAAATTTGTAGCAAAAATATACGTAGATGTTGTAGAATTGCCAATGAGACAGGCTGTCAGCTATCCACTAGTGTTTTTGTTCATTTCCCATACCAAAAAAAACCAACTTTTTCATGACTTTCGATTCTCATTTATCCAGGACTTGTATTTATTATTGCTAACAAACTTTTAAAATCTAGATCTACGCTATTTTATGTGGACCAAACAGCAATGAGATATACCGGAACACCATAAAACCAAAACGATTTCTAGAGGTAAGTTCTTCAATGACACACATATGTAAATAAAATACATTGAATCAGAATCGATCCTTAGTCTAGACAGTTTGTTTTTCATTTAGTTAATCCTATACAGTTTAGCCAAGATCGTCTACAATTCAAGGAATCACCACTAAATTCCTGAATGGACAGAAAACACTAAGACGAGGTTCCTGAGTTGGGAAAGACACATGTTGTTATACTTAGTGCAAGTACTCAATAATCCCCCTTTTTAATCTTGATTAGTGCAATTGCAAAAGTTACAGATTAGAATGCGAAAACAATCAGCCCAGAAGTAAGCATTAAATTCACGGTGACATGGGCCCAATTTAAAGTATTAATTTGATACATTAATTGATTTTCAATCCGGGAGTATTTCATATCCACTGGATACATAATTATTGTACTTCATGTTAGATTGACGACTAGATGTATATATTAAATCGATCGTGATTAAAATTAAACATTGTCTTTGATCAAGTTGACTGTCATGTGTTTGCATATACTATGAGAATATGATAAATTTGAATATAAATAAAAATACATAAGTAAAAACTTTGACACAAATAATAACAACATTACCTTGAATGACTGATGTAATCTGTGTACTAAACTCTATATAACTGACGGGACAGTATTACTGGGCTACAAAAAAATGTTCTACTTCAAACTATCAGTAAAAGATAACAATTGTCGTCAAGAAGACAACATAATTTGCTGAAGTTAATCTTTCTTTCTATATCCTGACTAGTTGAAAACATGACATAAGATATAGCACACAGATGTCCATGTAATCATTGCTGTTACACTATATTGATGACATATGCAAATAAGTTATGAAGTTTTTTTATTTCAGCTACACAAAAACGCAAACGAATAAAATAACAATAAAAAGTTATTTCTTTTTTATAGATTTAGTGAAAAACTAGCAGTGCATTGTTTGTATTGTAAGCAAAAAGCTCACAAAATGACACACCGTTCCTTGCGCAGTTCAAGATTTGATCATGGAAACTCAAGAAATAATTTGGATAACAAAATAAGAGGTGCATGCACAATTGAATTATGTGGTGAAGATTCTGAGAAAGTTTCAATAAATTGAAACAACGGGTTTAAGAGGAGTTTCTGATACAATATGTGTAACCAAAGGTAAAGCCATGGTAAAGACATTGATTTGGTAAGACAACCAAAAATAATTTGGATTAAAAAAAGAAGAGGTGCACAATAGTATTTATATTTGAGGGTGATGATTCTGAGAAGGTTTCATTAAATTTTGAGTAGAACCTGATACAAAGGTGTACTGTAGTGAACAAAAATTAGTAAATAGATATAGGAAGATGTGGTATGAGTGCCAATGAGACAACTCTCCATCCAAGTTACAATTTATAAAAGTAAGTCAATTTCATGCCAACGTAAACCCCAAAAATTATCCAGATGACGAAATGTTATAGGAGGTGCAAAAGTACATTAGGTGAGTAAGATTCTATTAAAATCTGGTGGATAAAGAGCAGTTGCGGATACACAAGTGGGACAGAAGGGCGAATGACGGCCCTACACTATATACCTCGACTTCAGAAAGCAAGGGTTATCCCTGAAACTTTCAGTTGATTTGTGCGACGGATGTTTGATATATATGTCGTAATACAGTGAAACAAACTACGAAGAAAGTCGAATATTTAATAACGACGCTGGAAAGACCGCCCAAAACAGTCTTTATTGCCGCAAGGACACATTAGAATACAAACACTTAAAAAGCCAATACATGCACCCCCCTAAAGATATGTTTACTCCCGTCTGTATTTCAGTGGTTATCGTTGGTTGCTTTTCGTCATTTTTGTTTTGCATAAACGCAACCGTTGGTTTTCTCGCTTGAATTGTTTTCACAATTTTTCTTGGTGGTACCTTTGATATCAGATATATTTGCTCATTGTTGAAGGCCGTATACGTACGGTGACCTATAGTTACTTACTTACATCTTCGTCATTTGGACTCTGGTGGATAGTTATCTCATTGACAATCATACAACATCTCCTTATTGTTGAAATGTAGCGTACTACAATACAGAATTAAAGGATTGACACCCTGTTTGAAGGCATCCAAGTCTAAATTGTTGACTACTTTGCTTGGTATTGAATTCCACAACCTAGTTGCTGTAGGGAAAATGAAAGTATAGATGGTACATGTAATTAGTATGAGAGAATTGCTGTACAAATCTGTGTTCGCTTAAAGGGACATGATAATGTGCGTATGTAGTCGAAAGTGGTTAATGCAATTTTTGATACTTTTTTTTACTTCTTGCGGGAAAATATAACAAAAATAAAGTTTAAACTAACAATGAAAGGAAATTCAAAATATCGAAAGTCGCCACATAAAATAATTACAAAAAAATATGTAATGAATAGAAGTTTGACAACATATAAATTTTCCATGGTAACTGCTTTCTCAGTATTTGTCAATCCTTAGGCTATAAGTTTATCCGAAAATGCGTTGATCGGGCTTCAACCTCGTAATGTCTTGAGGTATAGGGATAATTCTGTGGGTATTTTATAGTTCTTTGTATATATTGTATGTTGCTATGTATACATGTTTTCTTTTAATTTGTTTAATATGTTTCAGAGACTATTGAATTTTTTCATGCCTATTTGATTCCTTTTTTATTAAAAGATTACTATAACTTAGATTCATTTCATTGCTTCGTAATTTTATGATAATATTTTGAACATTAACTTTTCTTTACAAGATGAACGTTAAATATTTATCTTTACATAAAATTGTTTGTATGCATAACTAAAATTATGGAGGATATTTGATTTAATTCTGGAACACTTTGTGTAAACTATTTAACCCTTTTAATATAAGTTCTGCTATACACTTTTAATATAAAAGAAATTGAAAAGACTGGATTCAAATATATTTCCATAAAGCTTTTAGTCGACTTTGACACCTATTCATCAGCCATAGCAACTTTTATCGAGCTTTTGATGGGAAAAATATTCTTTCAGCATTTCAATTAATCTTTTAAATGCATAGGTCTTTAACGTTTATTCTCATTATTGTTATAACATTATTTTCTTTTCTAAATGATTGAATATAGATTAAGACTGTGTTATAATAAACACAAAGATTAAAGGTAAAAGAAATAAAATTACCTTTGATAACAAATGGTGGCGCAAGGTATTTAATGACAAATGAAATTTTGGTTTACTGGTCGAAGGGCTACAACTCCAATTTGATAAAAAAAATAAAAAAAAATATGCAACTATGAATGAAATTGACATTTATAATGTTTGCCTTACATACACTTTAATAAAGCTTCACGGTTAAACATCTGTATTCATTAACTGTACAATTAAATCGTAAATTAACCGACAGAATGAAAAGCACACTTAGTCTTTATACATTTTGTTCGTCCGGATTGAGCTCATCAGGGTTTGCTCAAACCTAAACATTTAAAAGCCAAGGTGATATAAATATCTGAATATGTAGTGAGCTAAATGACCAAAAGGGACATTCAACGAATAGCCCAATTCATCTATATCCAACTATCATGCATGAGGACAACACCCTACAGGGTCCTCTAAAGAAATCTAGAATTCAACCGCAACAAAACAAAACAAGAAACTTCAGTTAAACAATGAGAGATGAGTAATTCTCTACAAAAAAAAAATGAATTTTAAAGTAGATTGATGAGCACAAAATCTCCATTTAAGGTGGCTGGGGTGTCTTCCTCCATCTTGGATTTTGAACCAGCAGATAACAACTGGTCTAGATCTTTAATGATATGTGCAAATTCTGAGAGTAGTATGTAATTCATGTGTAAGACTTTTCATGTTAATATAGAAAATTATGTATTTTATCATATTAACGGCTGTTTTTTTCTAAAAAACACATAATTTTGTTTAATTCATATTTTTCACAACTTTGCCACATGAGGGGAGATAACTCAAATAGTAGGGGAGATAACTCAGATAAAGTATTTTTTTTTAAAGAAAGTGTTATGAATTTACCTATTTTAATATGTAGCGTGAACAAAAGTCCGGTGACCCATACTTTTTATTATATTTTGGAAAAAAGCATGATAAAAACTACATTTTGACAAATTATTAAAAAATTCTATGGATTTTAATTAAGACCCCCCATCCACCTTAAAGGCATAACTCAACACAATACGTCTCAATTGTCACATATAATGTGAGCGCTACTTTTAACAGTTTGGGCTTGAAGGTTGCAATAATTATTAATGGATTTAGATCTAAAATGGGCCATGCTCAGTCCTAACGGCAGATTTAGTAGTGGTAATTTCAGGATGGTAGTTAAAAAAGAAAAATGTTTTTAGATATATAATGTGATCTTCAAATGTGTATTTTTTGGTAAAAGTAATTAGCAAGAAGTGTTTCGATGGGCTAACATTAATCATTAGCATGAAATGTGATCACTATATGATCTGCAATAAGAGCAGACCAAGTTGGTCCTCTTCAACCCGAATCATTTAATTTCTTTATCTAGGAAACGACAAATGTGGATGTTTTTTCTTCATTTTTCTCTATTCTGTTTAAAGAATGTGTAAGACGAAATGGAGTCGTTAACAAATATATGACAATTTTTTCTTGCTACTTTCAGGAAAAAATGGCCTGACACTTGATTAACATATCGATCTCGGATAATTTGGCAATGTCCTGTTACAATATAGCCTTAAGATTCATGTATAAATGAACCTTTTATATTCTGTTTTACAAGAACTAAGGGACATTGCTAACAATATGTTTGCTTCCAGGGTGACTGATATACGCATAGCCTTTTTGAGATATTGCACATGGAAGCATAACCGTGAATTATATCATCTAAAACCATTTACACAGAAATGGTCAGTTTGAACGGTGTTTTCATGGTCCCGCTACTATGTACATGATGTAAGAACGATAACTCAATCTTATTAAACAGTTAACTATTTTGCTAACAAGAAAAACTTTCCAAGATATACATAAATATATATATACGAATAAAAGGAGAAGTTGTGGAAAGGTTAATGAGACGGCAGTCCAACAATACAGCTTTGTCAAATAAGAGTCATGACAGTCGAGATAGAGTAACACGAACCCCACCAACAACTAGGGTGATAATTGGCGCTCCAGAAGTGTGAGTAGATCCTGCCCCACTAGTGGCACCCGTCGGGTTGCCCATGGAAAGTACAAATTCGGTGACGAGGCTCATTATGATGAAGCAATATTCGAGGAATAGAGTAAGATATTGTTTTTAAGACGATTAGAACATATCCGTGGTAATCTGTTGAACAGATATTCGGCCAATAACGATAAACCAACGCATGATGGCGTCCATAAAACTTTCTAAGGGATGTCATCATCGAATGTTAGGCCAGCATAAACATGTACAGTGTTGAACTTTGAGAAAGCGCCAACACGATATTGCAAGTTTTACTCGCCCTAAGTCTAGGAAAAAGTTGAAAAATCAACTCAACTGAGGCGACCAAATTATCCAACAAAACACCGAATTCTTAATAAACAAAACAAAGGAATACAACCATGACAAAACAATGATAATCATTGAAAAGATTCCGGACTTACAAAGTGACATTACTATGTGGCAACAATGAAATGGTTTTGTGATTACAACCTCGATATTACATGTTAGTGAACAATTCAAGCAATACAATTTCAAATGCAAGACAAAATGCGATCAGAAAAGAACTTAATTATATTATTGTGATATAACAGATAACCTATACCACAAGAAATGAAAGCAATATTATTAAAACAAATATGCAGGAGTGGTTGCAATTGCTAAAGCAATTCCAACTATATATGTGATCAGTTGATTATAAAACCGTATTGCTATACACTGTAATGTTGGTCACTGTACTCCTAAACGGCTTCTATACGCAACGTATATGTGCATTATATATTTTATTTACGATTTAAATTCAACCAAACAATGACAGAATTGCATTTTGGACTGGTTTATCCATATTATTCCCTCCACAGGATTCGAACTCAAAGTACTGAGACACCAACGACAACTCCGTATGTATTGTGCCCAGAGCTAGCTCTATGCCACTCAAACCAATCTGCATGTACTGTACCCAGAGCTAGCTCTAAACCACTCTAGCAACTCCGCATGCACTGTTCCTAGAGTTAGCTTTGAAACCACTCGCCCAACTCGGCTTGTACTTTATCCAGAGAAAGCTTTATACAACTCAACCAACTACAAATGTAGCATTTTTTTCAGGGTTTTGTTTGGATAACTTTTTGTATTTATTTAGTGATCGGTGGTTTCTACTTCTCCTTTTATAGTGCATTCTCCTGAATTTGACAATTAATATGCCTAAATGTTACTTTGACAATGTGGTCAAAAAAATCAAATAAATTTACGATTAGGGAGTACACTGTAAAATGAAAATTACAAATTTTGCGCGTCTGAGGCGCCTCTCTGGATTTACCTTCATTAGGAACGATCAAAACTAAACATTTGAAAGTCAGGGGTGCAAAAATACGTGGAAACGTTAATTAATTTGTTTATAAATAAGGATGATGATGATGATAATGATGATGCTAGGTAACACGCTGAGTCGGATTTTTAACATAACAGAAAATTACAAACTTTGCGCGTCTGAGGCGCCTCTCTGGTTTACCTTCATTAGGAACGATCAAAACTAAACATTTGAAAGTCAGGGGTGCAAAAATACGTGGAAACGTTAAGTAATTTGTTTATAAATAAGGATGATGATGATGATGATGATGATGCTAGATATAGGTAACACGCTGAGTCGGATTTTTAACGTAACAGTCCGCAGGAAGACATGTCACCCTACCTGGACACATTATTCTGATTCCGAACCAACCTGTCTTTGTTCTTACTCCTTAATGCAGCACGCTTAGCGTAGAAGCAGCAAATGTCAATTCTAAAGTCTTTGGTTTAACCCGGCCGGGGTTCGATCACACGGCCTCCCACACTCGATGAGAACACGCTACCACGAGACCCCCGAGGTGGTTTTATAAATAAGGATATAACAGAAAACAAATATATGATAGTGTTACTGCAGTAAACTTTTTATGACCATATAAACAGATAAAACATCCAAATATAAGAACATGATATTTTTCCGTCTATTAAAAATATTTTCATTTTTAATTGTTTCATATCCACTGGATATCCCCCTGTCATGAAATTTAATCAACTTGATTTTCTTCAATGTTCGAACGTATTCTCGTCTTTATTAAACCTCTAATATTTGCCGCTGCATTAACATCCAATAATCGATTAAAAAATCGCATGAAAATCACATTTAGCATTTCATAGATTTCATAAAAAGTAAATAAGATTTTTTGTGATTATGTCTATTGAGCTTCTCCGCTTCTTGCTAATTTCATTACGATTTGATTCTTGTTGGATGGCCGCTATCGAATGTCCATTTCCATTTGTTGAAGTCTCAACCCACCTTTTTCTTCTTTTTAGTCGTTCCTGACTCGTTCAAAAATGTGACTCTTCACCAGGTTTATATTTATCATAATTAACACGACGGAAACTATTATTAGACAAGAAGCAGCATACCTTCCGCAACACTTTAGTTCACGTTTTGTACTTTCAATTCCTTGCACCATCCCTTTTTCATTAACCCTCCCTTTCAGTTTTTCATGTGTGGGCTGTTGAAAAGATGTCGGATGAACACACAATTTGTTGTAAGAGGTTGAATACAGATTTTGATTGAAAGGCAATGAAACAGCAACCCAGCAAGTAAACCTATATATTCTTAAAGTCATCATACGGTCTTTCAAAATGAACGAGCGTCAATAACACTCGACAAGGTCTAAATCATCAAGTGTGTAATATACCTGTTATTAATGAAACACAAGACGGTCTGTTGCTTTGGTAGTCCCTCTATTACAGATTTTATAAATAATGAAATACTTAAATAAGTATTAAATTTCTGTACAGTCCAATAGGGTCAACGAAGTAATGGCCAATACATTTGATAAAGCTTTAATTATATGAAAATTTGAATGATGTACACGAATAATCTTGTATGCTATTGTCTAAACTAAAAATATAAGATGATGATATTCCTAAACAAGTTTTTTTCGAAGGGTTATATCGACATATATGACATTGTTATTTTAGAAATTGACTCCTCTCATTTGCCAGGAGGCCATTTCGCCAAAGTGACCCACTCTTGTGTTCCTGTTATGCTTGATGGCCACCATAGGTGTATTCTTAGGCAACAGTACGGAGGGTTCCAAACCGTTGTCGTCTCCCCATAGACAGGGAGGCAGTGCTATATATCCAGCTTCGTCGTATTTGTTCTCTTTAATGTTTCCTTTTCCAAATACTGGAACTTGTCTGCATAACAGCTCCATCTCATGACCAGTGTCGTTCCTATAAAGTTCCATAGAAATGCAAGCTGGGGCATGACAGTGACCTCCAGCGTAAATCAGTCTTATATTGCTGACGGTCCATTTGAATTCTATTGTATGCACACACTCACAATCGTTCCCAGAAGGACAATTCCCAGTACATTTAGTTCCAGGAGTTGGTGTGTTCAGTGGCCAGTTATTATATCCCGGTATAGGTTTCCTCGGCAGGGCAAATGCTGGAGGAATATCATATTCACCTGCCCAAGCTTCGGTTTGATAATAGATACGGGGCAAATCGTGATGAGAAACGTTTGCGCCATCTACCTTGTATTCCTGAAACCAAAAGCGAAATTTCATGTGGTATCGTAAAAGTTCTGGTCGTATAGGTTGATCAGCATCCAGCATTATACGCTTGTGTTTACAACATTGGAGTCCTCCGGCATACGTTATTGAATTGCACGTTGGATTTCTCTGAGATAAGAGTTCCCCAGCAGGTGCTGGAACACAATTTTTGACGAAATGGTCACAGTTGGATCCATTAGTATCACACATCATACCTGTTTCTCCTACGTCGCAAATGCAGTTAGGCTCGTGTTTTGCTATCAAAACAATAATGCCGGTAGTATGTACTTTATGGTAAGCAAACGTCTGAGAAGAACCGACAGCAGAAATAAAATTGATTTGTGCATTTAAAGCATCAAAGCTGTAATGTTTTTTCGTCAAACCTTTGAGAGGGCGTGTCAGGACGGCAGTTCTAACACCATTGACGACAGTATTGGATACAATCTTTATGCTGTTGTTCAAAGGAGTTCCTGGACAATGATCTGCCTCGCTTCCACATGTACCTATTTGCTGTTCATATACACCTGTAGAGTTAACAATTAAAGTATAAGGTTTGTCGGCCATATGTGTAGCATTGAAACCAACTCCAAACCATGCGTCTGCAGGTCCACTTAAGGTTATTGTGCTAGCCTCAGAAAGTTCAATTTTTATTGATACTCCGATGTTAAATTTCACACTTCCTGTTCTTTTACTAGATGTCGAACATTGTTTCGAACTTTGAAACTCGTTGTAAGACACAGTTAATGAGCCATCAGACTCTGAGTCAACACTACAGCCACTAGGAATTTCGCTTGAAGAGGAGAGCACTGTTACATTCTTAGTTGCTTTGACTCCTAACATGGCTACTGCATCAAAGCATACGGTCGCGCTTTTCGTGGGAGTTTTACAAGATGGCTCTACAACAAGTGCATAATGGTGCTGAATGTATTTTGTTTTTGTGCTAGGACCGTATATCGCAGGGTCACCACCGAAACGACCATTGCATGGACATTCTAGAATTCCAGAATAAATGGCTCCTTCTTTCGGAATGCCACGACCATATCTGGCCTGTCGTGGTTCATCTCCTGGCGTGAAAACGGTACAGTTGTGAACGTCTTGTGGTGTGGCGCCACAGTCTCTGTTACGAGTATCAATTTGCATAGGAGTTATATGCCACTTGTCGGGCGAGTCAATTAATTGGGCGAATCCGTCTGGATAACCGTGGAAACTTTTCCTTGACTCTCCACCATTTCCTTCACTAAACATTTGACTTGTTGGAACGTTTTTGTACTCTCGATCCTTTGCTGAAGGTAGATCTTCTGCTACCCATTTCATTGGGGATCCATGAGCACTGACATCACTGGGGTCTGGATTCTTAATTTTTACCAATTTAGAGTGGTTCCCAGTCATCCATGCCATGTAGTGGTGGTTATATGCCCAGTTGATTGGAACAGATACATCATTTTCGGGATTCAAACCTGGTTTATCAAGTGGATACACCATAACTTGGTCCTGTTCGTAGCCTGTAATGGCCATGACCTTTCCTGAATAACAAAGAGAAAAATTAGAAATATAATATAAAGCCATCTGAACAGATAATGAAAACAATCTTATTCAGTAGTGCCGCATTTATGTTTAGGAAAATCTGTGTGATGTTTTAAGTGCTACAGTTTCAATTTCAAACAAACAGCTTTTATTTACAAAATAATTAATATGGACAACTATGTTAAGCATGAAAAATACCAGTTCCAGTGACAAACTTCTATAAATGCATGTTTTGTCGTGGTCAAACATTTTTAAATTCAATGGACACGAGGGCCCTAAAACAAAAATAAAATGTTTTAAAAAAGAGCAAACCAAATAAAAGAGTTGTCTTCGTAAATAAAAAAGTTTAAACAAGAAAACTACACAGTAGCGAGATAAAACAGACGCCTTTTTTTAACTACGCAATAGTTTGATGATGAGTTAATTGTAAAAAAAAGGTGTTCGCTAACAGAGTACTATTATAATGAACAGGATTCATCTACTACATGTATTTTAAATGATACCTGCAAATCTGTCGATGATTTCTTGTGGAATCAGATTGTTGCCTTGATCGGTCCAGAAGACCTCACCATAATGTGTTGCAATCTCTGGTGAGTAAACATCAAAGTACTCATGACCTTTGCTCATATAGTCATCGTTAAAAGGCACAGCCTGGTTTCCGCCACTGGCTACCAGATACCGACCATTCATGTTACCACCTTTCACATTTTCTACAAGTACATGTATGTGGGTTTTGTTATTTTTTTTTCTTTTTCGGTCTAATGGTGGTCGACTGGTAGTCCTCGGATATAATATCATTTCAGTGCTTCATTACTTAAATGATTTTTTCGTCAAAATGTTCTAATCCGATTAATTTCAGATATGGCTACATTGAACAATGTACATGCAGCCCTTTAAAAGTGGAATCTTCAACATTGCATACCAGTTATTCTATGTAGATGTTTATTTTGACGCCAACAAATCAAAAAGTTTATTTTTGCATCTTACCTGATCGGATAATATTTAAAATAATCTTTCTTAATCAAGCAAATTACAATGCACGTTAAGTTCTATGTTTTCTTTGTTTTCAGTTTGACCATGGACGTGGAAGGAAATACGGTGTAAGGGGAAAGTCTTACGTCATGTATCATTAGAATATACATTTAAGTACATGTATATGATAGATAAATCGGTATAATATTTAAGACACGTATATAATTCAATGTCATTTGTCATGGTAAAAAAGTACAAAAACAAGGTTGAAGATTAAATGTGGTATATTACATACACAACATGTACATGTATCATATAGCTGTTTATAACTATTCATGATTTATTTGTTGAGTTTATAAACATAAATGTGTTGGGTCTGAGTATTAACTCCTTCTAAAAATTTTGGTACTACATTTATTTAACAGTATCATTATGATTTTTTCATTTCAATTTGATACACAGCACGCAGGCTCTGAGGCATGGTGTCATTGTAAAATACACATTCACTTTTGCAGTCGATACCAAACTATGAATGGAAGGTCCACAATAGTGATATTGAAATGATCTCTTTTCTATATGCATGTGCGTGTGTTGGGTGAGGGGAGGGGTGAACACTTCAATTATTGTAGGTTATTTGACCTGTTTGTGTTTGTCGACCTGTACAGATAAGTAAACACTTACTCTGTACGTTAATTATACTATTGCATCTGGCAATCACCACCAATGCCGATAACAGGATCAGGACTTCTAAAAATAAAATCAATAACATAAAATTGAATGTCGTCAAAATTGTATTTATCAAAATATTTTTTCCTGTTCCAAGTCAAGGAAATCAGTGGTTGTCGTTGTTTGCTGTCTGTCATATCTGTTTTTCACTAATGGTTTATAGCCTAAATCAGGCCGTTGGTTTTCCTTTTTGAATTGTTTAACATTTTGTCATAAGGATACAATTTTATATTTAATGTCTCTTATGTTATTTACACAAAGTCACAAAATTAGAAAAAAAAATGCAATTCCAAATGTCAAGTTACCTGTGTGAACTGGTTTTGATATATGTATTTGTAAATATGTGTATATTATTAGTTGGTCGACATAAAAGATACAAGCTCTTACCTTTCATGACTGCGATATCCAAATTTTTGATTACATATATGCGACAATGGTATTTTATACTTAAGATAAAGACCTTAGGTAATGTACTGACATTTACGTTGTTACAAATCAATGACCTACATGTATATCACTGTTTATTTCTTCAAATTAAAAACAATATCTTTTATACAGTGTGAACATTAATAAGAAGATATAAAAGAGGGTATCAAGATAAGTCGGAGAAGAACAGAAAACTCCATGACCGAAGGAAAAAATACGAAAACAAAACAATAGTGCACATCAAATTTAAATGAATTGCCAGGTTGATCAATCTGTCATTTTTTTATGCTCGTTTGTACAAATTTGTCATGCGCAGAATCTGAATGGTATATGTAAAGTTAACTTTCTGTGTACCATTAACTTGATTTTATAAGAAGTAAAGAAAGTCAATCAATTCTATTCTCAGGATACAGCAAAAAAAAAAAAAAAAAAAAAAAAAAAAAAAGAACAAAAGGGTGAACGCAGGTGTACCCAAAGACTAAGCATGCATTTACATTAGACTAAAATACTAAACCATCGATCACTTCTAAAATTATTTTATTCTACATTGTTAACACTTCTCGACGTGAACTTGGATGAAATATTTGCCACTGGAGATTAATCAACCAATAATTATTTATTGAACCTAACAAGCCCTAGAAGGGTGGGGGAAGTTGATTTTTGAAAAAAAAACAATTTTTACTGAAATAAAAGCAAATTTCCTTATTTTCGTCAATTAAACCACAAAAATGAAATTGAAATGAAGTACACATATAAGAGGTAAAACCCTAAATGTACAGGGTAAGAAAGCAATAAAACATCCGAAGCACACTAAATAGTTTCAAACGTTGATATTTGGCTTTAGCAGGTAGACTTAATGCGAAGTTCGATGCATTTCTACCCTTTTCCGGTCATTAATGCCAAACAATAAAGACAAACTATACAACCCGACTGGCCATGGGTAAGGATTTGTAACTGACCAATTGATAAAAACGCATACCAATAGGAAATTAAATAAACGGTAAAATATTTAGTGGGAACATAAAATTGAGAATGGAAATGGGGAATGTGTCAAAGAGACAACAACCCGACCATAGAACAGACAACAGCAGAAGGTCACCAACAGGTCTTCAATGCAACGAGAAATTCCCGCACCCGGAGGCGTCCTTCAGCTGGCCCCTAAACAAATATATATACTAGTTCAGTGATAATGAACGCCATACTAAACTCCAAATTGTACACAAGAAACTAAAATTAAAAATAATACAAGACTGACAAAGGCTAGAGGCTCCTGACTTGGGACAGGCGCAAAAATGCGGCGGGGTTAAACATGTTTATGAGATCTCAACCCTCCCCCTATACCTCTAGCCAATGTAGAAAAGTAAACGCATAACAATACGCACATTAAAATTCAGTTCAAGAGAAGTCCGAGTCTGATGTCAGAAGATGTAACCAAAGAAAATAAACAAAATGACAATAATACATAAATAACAACAGACTACTAGCAGTTAACTGACATGCCAGCTCCAGACTTCAATTAAACTGATTGAAAGATTATGTCTTCATCATATGAATATCAGGCACAATCCTTCCCGTTAGGGGTTTAGTATCATGCCATCATAACATATATGAGAAGAACATAACCCGTGTCATGCCAACAACTGGTTTTTAAATAAATGTGTTTAGTGCCGATGCAAAGACCCTATAAGTGAATCAATATTAACGCCAAAATATGCAATCTTTAATGACCTGACAACAGTATCGTAACTATATCCCTTCTTAATAAGTCTATTTAAAGGTTTTGTTAGCTTCAGAGGTGAATACTGACATTTTTGTGCTTTATAAAGAATATTTCCATAAAAAATTGGATGTGAAATACCTGAACGTATAAGAAGTCTGCATGTTGAGCTATATTTACGAATGATGTCCTTATACCGATGATAAAATTTAGTAAATGTTTTGACTAGTTTGTGATATCGAAAACCCTGGTGTAATAATTTTTCAGTAATACATAAATTTCTCTCGTTAAAATCTAAAACATTGTTACATACACGAGCGAATCGTACAAGTTGAGATATATAAACACCGTAAGATGGTGACAAGGGAACGTCACCATCTAAAAATGGATAATTAACGATAGGAAATGAAAAATCATCTCTTTTATCATATATTTTAGTATTAAGCTTTCCGTTAATGATATAGATATCAAGATCGAGGAAAGGGCAGTGGTCATTGTTAGTATTAGCTTTATTTAAAGTAAGTTCAACAGGATAAATTTCTTTAGTATACACACTGAAGTCGTCATTATTGAGAGCCAGAATATCATCCAAATATCTAAAAGTATTATTAAATTTGTGTATCAGATGTTGTTTCGATACATGCATATAGATTGCATACTCATTGCTGTTGATTTATAAGTATATTGCTTCATTGATCCATACAAAATACCATTTATAGTGAAACGTTCCTCAGAAATGCCTAGACACTAAAATGTTAATTTCAGGAGATGGTTGATGATTTTTCATGATCAGAAAATATACTTTAACAAGCTTAAAATTGAGAATGGAAATGGGGAATATGTCAAAGAGACAACAACCCGACCAAAGAGCAGACAACAGCCGAAGGCCACCAATGGGTCTTCAACGCAGAGAGAAATCCCGCACCCGGAGCTGGCTCCTAAATAAAATTATGTACTAGTTCAGTGAAAATGGACGTCACACTAAACTACAAAACATATAAATGAACTAAAACTTAAAAAAACATACAAGACTAACAAAGGCCAGAGGCTCCTGACTTGGGACAGGCGCAAAAATGCGGCGGGGTTAAACATGTTTTGTGAGATCTCTACCCTCCCCCTATACCTCTAGCCAATGTAGAATAAAGAAACACATAGCAATACGCACAGTAATACTCAGTTCAAAAGAAGGGCGAGTCCGATGTCAGAAAAGGTAACAAAAGAACCTAAGCAAAATGACATAGTGGTTGACATGAAAAATCGTAGAAATCTATCCCCAAGGGTGACTGGGGAATAGAAATATGATCACTTTGTTCTACTTCCGACTTTTTACTTTCCAGTAAAACCCTTACGAAAAGGGGGTGTCCGTTTAGTTGTGTGGGATGTACAAGTACGCAACCACGTCCGGTCAGAGTAGCGAAGTTAAATCCGATGCCTCGTGTAGAGAGAGTGCCAATGTATCTGTACGTTCAAAACCCTTGCAACAAGCCTTTTTTGTTACAAGGCAAAATTTCTGTCCCTATCCAGTAAATCCTTATTTTCCATTTGCAGTCCAAATTTCCCAAACCTTCATCCCGGTTGGCCTTTATTACAGGAATTACCTATTGCATTTATGTTTAATGTGTTCTCGTCCTGAACATGAATGAAATATTTCCCACTGGACGTTCAGAAACCAACAATCAATGAATCGATCGATCGCAAAAATCCTTGCTCATGTATTGATTTTTAAAAATATAAAACCTGGACATATCATGTAGACTCGGGTATATAAGGGTGGCTGTCAATTATTTATGCCAATCTCATTGGAAATAAAAATTTAGTTAACTTTTTGCACGTAAAAGAACAATATTGATTGAGGTTTCCGAACCTATTATTGCTCTTGTAAGTCAAATTTCTTATCAAACTCATGTTATAGACTTCGTACAAATTGATCTATTTTAAAATTGAACTCTTCCATATATATAGGACACATTTCAAACAAACCAATAGTGATCACGTGAAATAAGATTTGTCACGGTCTTTCTGCACAGCATAGCAAAATGATCGTTATTTTTTTACTGGAAGCCTCGACATGTGGGTCACTACTTGCTATTTGGATGCATTTGTAAGTGAAAGGTACCGATTTTGTTACTTTTTATAAAGAAAAAAGGTAATGTTTGACATAGTGTTATATTCATTGAGTTTCAAAGAAGCCCGAGGTTAGTCGATGTCTGATAAAGCCTACATATATTTAAAGAAAGCTCGAAATAAAGTAGCAGTTAAATTCTAATAAATATAAAACCGAAATACATTTTATAAGGAAAGCTCAAATATGTAGTTTACAAGTTTTAAGGTGATTTCTGAAAATATTAACGTCTCTTCAAATCAATTCAAAGAATATTTTACCAGTTCGAATAGCAAATTAGAATCATACCGTACACTAAAGGTAACATGTACTTAGTATATGCGTACGTACTAAGATAACCCAATGGCTTCGGAATATTACAAATTCTATCTTCACCATAGAAATTTTCACCTTTTCCATGTTATATATGTGTCGAAACAAGGGGGACATGAATCAACACTGCAGAAATTGTTTAAGTAGTTAACACTATATAGAAAGCAGGTCAAGTCAATGTTTTATAGGGGCAACCTGTTGACTTTCATTATTGGAGATGTATTTTTCGAGTTCGAGTTCGAAATCGAGAGAGAGAGAGAGAGAGAGAGAGAGAGAGAGAGAGAGAGAGAGAGAGAGGAAACAAATCCGACCGATGAGTGACATGAACAAGCCGTTATTTGATCTATTATTATATTAGCACTGTTCTGAACGAGTTTTAGTTGATGCTAAAATAACTTGATAGATTAAATAGAACTGAAGGTGACCATTAACGGTTCAACTGTTTTATATGTTCTATTCTCAATTTTACACAACTTCAATTTTTATTCAAGAAAATCTATATCCATATATACTTGCTATTTCTCGTAAAATGTATTCATAAGGTGTCTTCTTACTTAATAATTCAAAAAATTGTGTCTATGTTGGTCGCATTTGTCCAATAAAACTTGAAAGAAAGAATACAACAGATACAGCTGTGTCTGCATCATAACTTGTCTTAGCTTATATCTAGATTTCTACAGTGGGTCGGTTGATAAATAAATAGTACGACAACAGTGATGATTTCAATTTCTCATTTCTATGTAGCAAAATTCTAGCAGCACCTTCATATGAAGTTCTGTATAAATTATACTTCCCATATGGAACAATCATCTAGGGCTTTTGTTTCCCATCATGATTTCCTTGATAGATTTTTGACAATTATGGAATAATCTCTGTCCGAGATACCCAATGTTTTGATAGTTTTCCCTTGTCGT